CTGCCTCAACTACCTCTCACTCTTATGGAAGTTAAATCTCGTCACTATTTTGCATACATATTTCAAAAAACGTGTCCAAGTCTCTTACTCTTTCATATCTATATTTGCTGTATACCCACAACCTTCATTTTTTGCTCTAACCTACCCTCATCATATCAATCATTGTTCTTGCTAGACCGATTGGTAAATAAGCTAGACTTTTCGGTCGCTGCGCGATCCGAGAAGATAACCTCCCTCTTATCCTATAACCTCAGCCCCTTGTCTCACAATCCACGCAAGAGGCATAACACTTGAACCTCGAAGCCCTCAAGAGGCAGAGGAACTGTAGCTAAATTCTCTCACAAGAAGTCTGCTGCACAGACGAAGTGTTTCAGTAACAAAGATAAAGTATTGCGCATGTGTCTGATTCGTCAACTTATCAGTACTGTATACCATTAATATAATTATTACAGTTTATGACCAAGGAACGATATTTCAACCCTCCTAAAAGGTTCAGTAGCTGGAGAATACTTTGAAGATGAGCAGGAGTCTTAGCTCAACACTCTCAAAGGTCTAGCAGATGTAGCATAAAATCATCAAAAGGCCCCTGGGTCTTTTGAGAATTTCCCCACTACAAGCATGCACTCCTCCCCCCACCACCAACATTCGCTTCTCCCCCACCTCCCCAAGGAATCGTAACTCTATTTCTTCTGGAAGGAAACATTTGAAGCTTCCTGGCTGGACGGAATGCTTGATGGTATCTTCATCATCAGCCTACTGAAGTCTCCCAGCTCAGGCTGACAGATTTCAAAACCTTGTATGAGCACCATCCTGCGTGATGGAATTTGAGAGGGAAACGAGGGTAGCTTTTGTTCCCACTGAGTGTCATAGAATAGGGTAGCAGCACACTGCGGATGTATACTTTGTTAAAAAATAGAAAATAAACCAGCTTCCACTGCTCACTACCCACTACTCTCCCACTAGCTCTACAAACAAGTAAATTTATCGTGTCGATGTAATTTCTTGTTTGGGATATAACAATGTTTTCCTGGCAATATGGTGCACCCATGTATCCGATTTGTTTGATTTTAACTGTTGCAATCCTAGCCAATCAGATACGTGTTATTTATGCTAGGTTTTTACGCCTGCTAGGCTCCAGTATAATGTTATTTTTTTGTATGAAATGTTTGTCTGATATTATTTATGCCTGCTGTGCTTGCCTATGGTGTTATGCCTTCCAGAGTTTCGTGATTTATTAATGAATGCTTCTCTGTAGTGTTATACCTACTAAGCAAGTTTATGCTGTTTATACTTTCTAGGCTTATGATAGTGTTGTTGCATTTGCTAGGTTTGACATTAATGTTACGCCTGTTAGGCTTACTAACATTTAAGCTTTATTTCTGGTGATAACAGCATTACTTATTTTTTGTGGTGCTTTTTTCACAAATAAGTTTGTGCTGCTAATTAATGTGATTCTTGAGCAGAAGGAAAATTGCCCTACTAGAGATAGGGATAATTATCTTTTAGAGCCTTAGATCGGCTATGACAATGGAAGTTTATCCACATCCTGACATAGACAGTAAACACAGCTCTTGTATATCGTCTCATATGGGTGATAAACGTCAAGGAAAGAACAGTTAGTCACTTGTAAATTATTCCGCGATATGCATTCTTGTTCTGAAATTTGCACATTAATCATAGGAATTGTCAGTAGAGTAGTCTAGAAGACGTAAAGGTAATATTCCTTACACTTGTTAATCCTTTTCATGTGACACTTTATATCTTAATTTGAAACATACTGAGATAAGGGATGAATTCAGGGTGACAGGTACAGAAGTAGTGGTGATAACATTTTCATGTCAAAGTATAAAAAGTTTACTATCAAAATAATGCGAGAATAACCTCAACATTAGATTACTGATGTTTATTTCCAACACTCGCTCACCCTCTAAGAAGAGTTGATCTTAGAAAGTTTAGTTTTAGCCGAGACAATATAGAAGCGAGAATGACGGGGCTCAGGGAATATCATAGACAAATACTGGTGGAATTTTTGAGACTGAATAAGAATATGGGAAATGAAATTCTGAGACTGTCAGTAAGTTCATTCACCACCTATGATTGTCAAACGCTGAAACCCGTCAAGGGGTACCTAAATGCCGGCGAAGCGCTCTTGACCAAAGGAACTGTTAAAAAGGTTATTCGCCTTTTTCCTCTTCAAGCAGCGGAAGGGCAGGTAGGGGGGGAATGTGCCTTGTTAGTGAAAAGTTCTTGATGCAAGGAACTGGAGGTACCCTCCAATTGGATCAAACCTGATTCTGTATGACCATACAGGTTTATCTGTTTTCTCACGAATATAATATTTTCCTGTATCCCATTATCTCGTGTTGATTCACGTATTGTTACGTGATTAACATAAGGGTAACGTGAAGTGTTTCGTAACTGAATTCAAGTTTGTATTAAAAACCAGTTACGATTTTAACTAGATAAAAAATCTGTATATAGTTAATTGCCACCGTTACTTATCCACCATGATACCAGTGCCCGGTCCCTGGGCCCATTATCTACCATGATGCCAGTGCCCGGTCCCTGGGCCCATTATCTACCATGATACCAATGCCCTCTCCTGGGGCCCATTATATACCATGATACCAGTGCCCTGTCCTGGGGCCCATTATCTACCATGATACCAGTGCCCGGTCCCTGGTCCCATTTTCTACCATGATAACAGTGATCGGACCCTGGGCCCATTATCTACCATGATATCAGTGCCCGGTCCCGGGGAGGATTATCTGCCATGATTCCAGTGCCCGGACCCTGGGCTCATTATCTACAATGATACCAGTGCCCGGTCCCTTGGCCCATTACCATGATACCAGTGCCCGGTTCTGGGGCCCTTTATCTACCATGATTCCAGTGCCCGGTCCCAGGGCTCATTATCTACCATGATACCAGTGTCCGGTCCCTGGGAGGATTATCTGCCATCGTACCAGTGCCTGGACCCTGAGCCCATTATCTACCATGATACCAGTGTCTGGTCCCTGGACCCATTATCTACCATGATACCAGTGCCCGGTCCCAGGGCTCATTATCTACCATGATACCAGTGTCCGGTCCCTGGACCCATTATCTACCATGATACCAGTGCTCGGCCCCGGGGAGGATTGTCTGCCATGATACCAGTGCCTGGACCCTGGGCCCATTATCTACCATGATACCAGTGCCTGAACCCATTATCTACCATAATACTCGTGCCTGGTCCATGGGTCCATTACCTTGATACCAGTGCCCGGTCCTTGAGTTCATTATGTGCCTCTGTAATCTTTTCACTGTCGTCCACGAGATAGATAAGAGGTATATATAATAACAATGTTAAATAACCACAACGTAAAGAACTAGTTAAACATCTCAGTCAGTGTTGCACAACACTGTTGAGGACCGAGCTTTACGACATTCTTGCCAGGGGTTCTAACCCCACCCCGTACCGCAGTTTAGCAATATTATTTTTAATAAAGTTCTGTAAAAAAAAAAAAAAAAATTGGGTTTTAAACAGTACTGAAAAAAAGAGTTTAAAGTATTTTATACAATGCTGAAAAAATTTATGAAAAATAACTATTTTTATTTCATACAATACTATAAAAAAGAAGTCATTGTATTTTACGCAGTGGAAAAGGAATTGATGTATTTTATAAAATACTGTGAACAACTAATATGTATTTGATACAATTCTGAGGAAAAAAATTCTGTCGATCTGTTACAAAGGAAATATTTGGGCTGAATATCAATAATTAGTTTACACAAAATATTTTTTTAATAATACAAGGGCTGAACGAGCTTATGTTATTTAATAACACCATGTTACGTATATACAGTTCTAGAATTCAACTAATTTTTTTCTGTTATTATTATTAACACGAAGGAACGCGAAACTGATTTTAATGACCTTTTTCAAATCAAAGTTTTATTGAGCCAACGTTTCGCTCTCTGTGTTGAGCTTTGTTGACTTACTATTAAGTGCTGTACAGAATGAAACGTTGCAACTAAACGTATTTGGGTCGCTGCGCTACCCGAGAAAAGTATCCCCATATTGTATAACGCCAGTCCTCTTCACCTCACTCTACGCTACTGTAATAGTGCTGAGTGTAGTATAAGTTTGTAATCCAATTAAATATTATCACTGGAGATCTGAAGCGAATCATAAGAGGCATTTACAAGTTACTACATGGAAACTAATATCCCAATTTCTTCAATAAAAATGGCAAATTAGGTGAAGCTCTGACCCCGTAGGAGTCATACAGCGCCTGGAGAATGGGAGGCATTCAGATTCGATCCAAGGAAGGGGAGAAAAAGTTCAGTTCCTTGGATCAAGAGCTCACTGGCATCAAGGGGTATTCCAACATGTGAATTTTCAGCATCTTATTTTCTTTTTTTTTTCAACTTCTCTAAAAGATGGATGAACAACAAGCTGGATGAACCAACTCGATGAACGGAGGGTCGAACTACGGCAAATCAATCCTAACACTCGCAGGTTATCCCACTGTATAGTGGATAGCTGGTACGGTACAGTGGATAGCAGGCTATCCATTGTACTGTATCAGGCCGGCATGGCAAAATGGTGAAAACACTGGCCAGGACAAAACTGGTTTGTCATGGATTTGAAACCTCTTTCCACCTATATTTAAGGTACCCGAAGTTCTGACGCTACCAGGGGGTTTGTGCCAATAATCTGCAACGCTATTACTAAGCCAGTATTCTTTCTAAATCTAAATTTGTCCAACTTGAATCCACTGTTGAGAGTCCTGTCTTGGTGAGATATTTTCAGCAAGTTATTTACATCCCCTTTATTCCTGTTTTCCATTTATACACTTAATCATGTACCGTTTACTTATACTCCTTTCCAGGACAGTGCAAAGTTAGTGCTTTCGGTCTATCTTCTGAGGAAAGGTTTGCAATACATGGAATCCATCTTGTTACTGCGATTTCTCGCGTCAAGTTGGATGATAATTGAGGCACAGGGAAACAACTTTTATTATTATATATATATTTTTTATTATCTTTCAGTTTCACAACATCAATGCTACTTTGTATCTCCGCAAATTATAAATACAGTAACTAGGGCAGAAAAATAGCATTAACAGTTTGCTTGAATTTTGTCCCATCTAAGCCTTTACAAAAAATTTAAATAGGTTACATTAGTGCAAATTGACCTACATTTACCTATGGTTGATCGTTAGTGATGAATTGTGTTTGGCAGCGCTAAATGTATCGTAGCCTTTTCCATTAGTTTTTTTCTTCATGGGTATGACCACTGTTATTGAAGTTGGAGGGTGGGCTATATTATAGTATAGCTTGGAGAGTGACATCTGTACCTTAAACTAGAACATTGTGGGGTCTGAGGTCATACCCTAACCTACCTAGTCTTAGCAGTAGACACCAGTATGTCTCCACTAACAGCGTAACCTCGTCAACTTAGCCTATCGACATAGGAGTTCCTCATTGCAGAATTTTTTTATCTTGATTTCTTCTACGCATTTCATCTCCTTAAACCTGTTCTGTTCGTAGATGACAAGACTTTTGTCATCTCCCACTTAAATCCGACTACTCTCAGCGACAATTTTAATGATGAACTCCTAAAATATATATGTGTGGATGACTCTCAACAAATTCACCCTTGATATTGTCAAAACCTACTACATGATGTTTGGAAGCAGATCTTCGGATATCGTAGAGGTGGTAGCTGGACAAAGACGCAAGCATGGAGAACAAGTCTCGATTTGGACAACGTTATGCTCTTAAAATGGTTAAACGACACATACAAACAGGAGACAATGTTTCATTTATCAAATACTTAATAAAGTCTCATGTAGGTGAAACGTTATATTAAGAAGTCAGAAGGTCTTTTGCGTTGTCTGCTACACCATACTTCTGCTCTAAGTAAAGACTGCAGAGAATCCGTAGCTTGGAGATTAGGTGGGCTGAAGAGGGGTTGTTGAGGAGGTTCAGACATTTAGAAAGGGTGAACAAAATGGTGACTTGGAGGGCTTATAAATCGCAATGTAGACACACATTGTCCGAATAAAGGCTTCTTCTGAATACTTAATTCATGCCCACTTGCCTTTGGTTTGCGGAACCTACGGCCTCTCCCAAAGGGGTTGTGGATTTATCCTGAAGGTGGTAGCTGTTGATATGGTTGGGATGTGTAATTACAGGGCAGTCACAGCACTCGGGGAAGGGCTGACAGGAGGGTTGGTTGCAGCAGGGCTGAGCTAAAGGGTCTGTGGTTGTGGTCCTGGGCTCCATCCACGTCATGGTCTTCATGTGTTCCTCTCTCCACTCTCCCAACATATCCAACACCGGTCTGTTGATATTGATTGGAAATAATACAAATACCCGTAGTTTAAAAAAAGCGAGCGGCAATATTGCGGTTAAAATAATTTAAACAAATTACTTATAAAGTGAAAGCGTAAGTTTCGGCTCGTCCGCCAGTTCAGTGGATAATGCCAAGAAACAAATAATAAAAATTTTATCAGTTTTGGAATACATTTTTAACAAACTCCCAAGACCCAGAAAAAAGAACTCAACGACCCTAACTCTGCTCCTGAAACTGCAAGAAATGATGCAGGAAAGCCCTCAAAGACATAAAAACAATCAATCATTAACATGGTGTAGCTTCAGTGAGGATGATACTCACAGGTAGAGGGAATCATTGGCCAAGTTGTATCGTTCGCCGGGGTCGTGGTAGAGGTTGTAGAGGAGCGGGGGGTCGTGAGGGGTGAGGGGGTGGCTCGCAGGGCACAAGGGGTCGTAGTTGTCAGGGTCCGACAGATCTGAGGAACATATGTTTAAGTTAAATGAAATTATCTCATAGGGGGTGTATGCAGAGAAGTTCGTATCCGTACCAATACACCAAGTGACATATACATAAGTTTGAGTATTTCAGTGTATATACAGCTGCTAAATTATATATAAGCACACCGAGGTGTGTATCTGTGCAAAAATCACCAAGAATTTACTTAAAACCCTATTGTAAAATTTAAAGTATTCTTGATGTTTGTGTACAGATGAGCTATAGTCTTTAATGCCGCGAATCCAAACGATGAGCTTTGAACCTAGCATATTAACGGTGATAATGGTGATGATAATGATATCAATGGTGATAAAAGCATTATTTTTAGCACTAATAATAATGGTAAAGGAAAATTCGCCATTAAACTATTGAATATTTCCAGCCATAACGATATAATTTTCTCTATACTGAAAACTAGCGTATGTCATGAATGCCAATAAGTGAAATGATAAATATTTGCAGTGCCCACACACATTTTTTTTTATTGACAAAACTGGATATAGCACATCGTGGGATACCCTGATTTTTATAACATTTTACAAAGTTTAAGCAAGAGTTAACTACGTTTTTTGCTTAACAAATTCATTACGCAGAATGAATTTTCATACAGTAGTTTTGATACATTAGCTGCGAGTCCAGCTGTAATCCTCCAGCAGGTCTGGAGTTACTTTCACCTGGGCACCATCACACAGAATGGTGAGAGTTTAGCTGTAAATCCTTTCAGGATGTCTGTGGTATCACTTGGGCACCATCACACAGGATGGTGCAGTATTTGTCACAATAATGACAATGGCAAGACCAAAGTACACATTAAGTGTTCTTACGTAATAATAATAATTATAATATCTTTATTTCTACAAGTACATGTACAAGGTATACAGGCCTAGCTGACATAAGTGACATAATACTATATACAAAGCCGCATTTCGGGCAAATTAGGTTAATTTTGTCCCAGGATGCGACCCACACCAGTCGACTAACACCAAAGTACCCATTTTACTGATGGGGAACATAGACAACAAGTGTAAAAAAACATGACCAGTGGTTCTATCCTGGGTCCTCGCCAGGCCACGGGGCACCCTATGTAGGCACTTCAAAAACCACATCAAATTAAAACCATATACTCATAAGGGAGCTTACCTGACCCTATGGTGTAGAAATGAGCCTTATAAGTACCATTGGTGACGGAAAAGGGTCCAAGGGACTGCTCCGGTGACTGCGGATACACAGCGTACATCTTACGAGGACTCTGGTGACAGTAGTAGTAATAGTAATAGTGTGAGACAGTCGATCAGAAAGGTTAAAAATGATTACAACTACTGTTACTTATTATTATTATTATTATTATTATTATTATTAACGTCCAGTAATTTGTTGAATATTTCTTCTTGGCAAGTTCTAATAGATCTTTTTTTTATCATATTTCCATAAACAGCTAGTGTTCTTTTAACCCACGGGCATACATGATAACGGTTATCAGTGTCAGCATTTTAAAAATAAATATCGTTCAGTACGGTTTAGTAACGTGTTTCGCTCTCCTTTAGCAGACTGAGGGGTTGGGGAAGGGCGAGCCTCCACCTACACTGAATGAAGTACATGGGTTGAGCGCTTCAAATAAATAAAAATCATTCTAATAGTGGCAACCACCTTAGCGAGAGGATCCCTGAGGAGGGGCGAGAGGTCGACGCCGTCCAAAGTTAAGTTAGAGGTGTCTAGGTGAACCAGAGACGCTAGGGTGGGGAGTATATCCAGTGTTGATGCCAGACCCGACGTTTTACCTGGTGCCGTTGAAGATACTAATTAATAATAATGTGAAATTGTGGCAACAGCCAACAATAGTAATAAAAAAAACTGGAAAACGGAAGAACCTTTAATTAAAGAGGTACGCGACGTTTTATTCAGTTGTATTGAACTTTCACTAGAAAAAGTTCACTACATGAGAATGAAAACTCATGTATTTCTATAAATAACACTTTTTCTGTTGTCCTGATTTTTTTTATCAATAACATTCGTAATTATTATTAATTATTTTTACACTAGATATTTATTTATTGCTTAATGTCACCTTGTTTGTAAATGGGACCCTCGATCCATTTATCTTAGGGAGAGAATTTCTTACGTTACATGGGAAATATAACCTGGTTTTCTTAAGAAGAAAGAGACTTGTAACAAGCTATTGAGTAACTCGACCACATTACATATTCTTCACATGTTCCGCTTCTGTGGCAACACAAATATTTCAGTGTACAAACAGTTCATAAATATATACGACCACATTTATAAATTAAAATGCTTCCAGTTTACTTTGATTAACCAGGGGCTTTCCACTAAGTTTGTAAAATATGTTTCCTCATTTTACAACAATTGTGTACTGCACTTTCTGGAAATAAAAGACTTCAATTTCAAAGGAGGAAACGTTCTTAGCAGATAGTGAATCCAACCTTGACGCTTTCCTCTGAATGACTCGCGCGGATTTAGCGCTGTATGCAAATATAATGAGAAACTTCTTAAGTTAATTTTGGACTTTATTATAACTTGTGGCTTTCCTCACTACACTGAGGTCAAAACATACGTAGTGTTCAGTGATTAAAGGCATTTTGTAATTGTTTATCAGTAGCAGCGATACATCTAACTCATTGTCGGTGAGTAATTGATGTAAAGCATAAAGTGTGTAGAAACATTTTTACTTGACCTGTTAAGTTACTGTAGGATCATGCTCGTGTAAAAGTGTGACATCCATAGTTTGCGAAGTGTTGAAAGACCGAATATGAACTGCTAGATGAAGATACTGACTCGGCGAGCTCACAAATTATCGGCGGGAAGGGTTTGACTCAATACAGAAGATTTATTAATTAAATGGCATAGCCTTCATGTAATGTAGCACCGTTACAGAGGGATAATGATTGCATAAGATGGCAGTAGATTTAGTAGTTACAGAGATTACCACTTAACACTGCTACGAAATGCAACTAAAACATTAACTAGAAATTTTATGGTGAAAGAATATTATATTCTGCCATCTTAGCTGTCCCTCAATTGAGGCAAAATGCTGATGCAAGAGAATGTTTACAGAAAATCAATTTCTGTATTCCAACAGACCCGGTGTGATGTAGGGAGGCCAATGAACGAAGGCAGGGACCCTGACACCTCCCTCCCAGGTGGTGCCCTTCCCACAACGCAGCAGCCCAGCGCACCCTCCTCGCTCATGTCGCCTCAGGCTCGGTCTGTTAGTGAAGAAAACAGTTATCGGATTATTTACAAAGGAGGCAAGTATTCTTTGGGGTGGTTCGTGGCTGAAGTGGTAGCGTTTTCAGCACCCATCCGAAAGACCTGGGTTCGATACAAGTGGAAACGGGCATGATTCGTTATACCTGTCGCTTCTGTTCACCTAGTAGTAAGTAGGTACCTGGGTGTTAGCCGACTGTTGTGGGTCGCATTTGCCGAAAGAGGATCATAGGATTCTAGAGGAAATAAACCATAGTGTCTTTATTGGATAGTCCTAGATTATTAACCCTCTGGGTTAATAATCTAGGACAGTGGTTCCGAAACTGGGGTAAATTACCCCATGGGGGTAATTTAACCATTTTTGGGGGTAATGGAGGGGTGACAGAAAAAAGTTATGAATTCTGAAAATCAAGAAAACAATGCGGTACCCGGTATGAGGATTATTGTTAACTTTGTCTTAGTATATAAAGTTGTAAAGTAAACCTATTATAAGTAAGTAATAAAGTTAAACCAAATAACAATAAACATCAAAAACTAATATACAGTATTAGAAAAGAAGAAATATATAGCTAAGTGTGTGGAAACCCAAAAGTATTTTGACAAGTATGCTTCAGGACAAAAGTCACTCAGTAGCCCAGATCGACCTGTCCAGTACGCGTCACTCACTTCCTGAGGCTGCCTCTATTTCACACTGTCAGTTTATCTGTGAGCATCAGCCGAGGTAGACATAAGCTGGTATGTATGTGTACTGCCCTGTGCAGTATATAGTTAGTATTTACCCACTGTTACTGTGAATTTGTAGCTATTATTAATTTTATATATAATGTATGTGTGGTTCTTACGTTTTCAATGGTTTTGCTAGGATTAGCAGAGTATGCGAGGCTGTATACGTTCACGTTTAGCCATATATATCAATAATAACAACATTTTGTGAAAGGGGTAACATGCTTTATGTGGCATGTTAAATTGGGTAACAAGCTGAAAAAGTTTGGGAACCACTGATCTAGGACCTGTCCTCATTATACAAGGTAATTTTTGGGTCGTGATATTGTGCTGTACATCAGTTTCCTAACGCTTCCATTTCTTTCAAATCCTATTTGCTTTAAGTAATGCCTTTGATAGAGTTGCACGCAGGAGACTGATGAAGTAGCGGCACTTGGTATAGGAGAAGAAGTATCTCCTGGGTTGAGTCATGACTAATCGACAGGAAACAGTGTATGTGCCACAGGGGTCAATGTTGGGACCGTTATTGTTCACAATACACATAAACGCTAATTCGAATGGTGATACAAGTTTGTCCATGACATTAAAATAGACTGTCAGATAGGTAAGTAAGTACATTTGTTGCTCAAACATTATTTAATGTTATATAAATCAAGGTAGGCATATAATGTGCCCTGTCTAATTTTTGCAAAAAAAATAGTCAATTATTCACTTTGTTATGCCTTAACTGTATCAGTCTCACTAATTTTGTACATTATATACTAAAATAATGATGACATGAAAACTTGCATTATTGTTGTTACTAAGAATATTATGTTAACTTTAACGCAGTTCATTTATGTGCTAAATCAATAGTTTTTAATTCGGTATTAAGTTCCAATTAATGAACTTGATAGAGAATTATAACAATCACCAGGAAGTAACAGGGTAGTAGAAACCAAAGGTTGAAAAAAGTTTGTTAGGATGGGTTTAAAACTATTTTGATTCAGTACGTAAATCAACTACATTAATGAGTGTCAGTCTTAACGCCTTATAAGTAATAATTGTAGTACTGTAGTTTTTTGTCAGCAGACATGGTAATTTAAATGTATAATTTTATTATTTATTAATTTATTATTATGACTACTACTGTCTGACAGTTCTCCAAGAATTGTTAATAAAAGCACTGACATAAAATAGGAAGTGTAGGTGTGTAGAATTAGAGCATACACGTATATACTCAGTTATACGTGGCTCGCAGCTAAGTGATGGTGACTTTAGCATACAATGAAGGAGCGGAACTTAGTACTGTAGTTGGTGGGCAGGTTAAGCATGGCTTGAATACAACTCTTGTGTATGATCGCTTACAAGTAAATAGGTAAGAGGGTGTTTTAAATCTTGTCACATCCTAAGAGGGTGGTTAGTACTTTATATAGGACTTTGAAATGAACCGAAGTATTAGAGCATATCTTAACCTGCGAATTCAATGGTGTTAAAACTGAAGCCGGCACACTAAAGCCTAAGGGTATATTAGACATACAGGCACATGTTTACACGCTGATTATACATGCCCGTTGTCTGAGGTGAACCAAAGAAGAGTAGAATTGATGAGGCCGAGAGTGGTGAGTTGATCAACCACTTCGCTTACAGCCCAGTCCAGTTCATCAAGGGCGTCGCCGAATACTCCTCGCTCACTCTTCCCGTAGAATTCCTCGGAGGCGAATTGTGGGTGATGTACCTGTGGTCAGTGTTAGAATAGAGGATGATCAGTTGCTCAAGGATCATAAGTTTGCGATTCACATATATACTAATATCATGAATATTTTAACTCAGAGAATATGGATGTAAACTGTTTATGTACACTGGATGCCAGAGGTAACAAATGGTAACACCGACAAGTACGTAAGATAGACACAGGCGGTAACTAGGATTTTTTAGATGTTTAGAACCAGTGGTCTTATTAATTCAATACATAGAACGGAAAGCAGAGTATAGAATTGCCAAAATCATTAAATCGCCTGTATTTTGAGCGATGGTGTTGGCAGTAGCTGTTAGAGCCGAGTCGCAGGCACTGTCTAGAATCGGCTCTAACACTGCCATCACTCAGAACAAAGGCACTTTTATGATTTCGAAAATTTTTGACCAGTAAGTCCTACTGTTATGCAAGGTTCTGCATGACATCGTAATGTACATATGGTGGAGAAGTGTGCCATAATAGTATGAATATTATAGTTGTAAAGAATAATTTTATAATTGATAATGTGCATTTGGGGGTACTGTAAAGTACTCTAACTGTAATTATAAAGAAATTCTGTTAATGATTTATTTTCCAAGGATGTTTGGGTACGCGGAGTAAGCGTGGTTTGAGAGTCACGTGACGTTAGCATGGTGTCTATAGGCTGGCGTCGGAGATGCTGTGTATTTAAGATAAGTTTGTTGTTGTGCACTCATTTTTTTTATCCAACTCAAGCCATAGGCTGTCATATGGCTTACCTGTATGTTCACCCAGGCTCTGACATGGTCAGGGTGCTGTGGGAGGAGTGAGGAAATAAGAAATGAGGTTGGGAGTGGAGTAAAGTGGGCCTGGCGCTGACGAGGCATAGGTGTCATGGTGGCTGGACCTCAAGCCAGCTGCTGCTTGTGTACCCTCATTTGGGCGTTTAGAATTAAGGTGTTTCTGTTATGTTATGTTAAGGTGACTAAATAGATATATTTTCCTAATTGGGATTTTTTGCCTAACCCTCTTGTTACCCAACCCCTTTAAGTACACATATTAGTTTAGCGCTTTCTGTTTTGACTGGGATAGCCCTGGGTGGCCGGTTTGGGCTTGAGATGTGAGTAACTTTTACCTTTGCCCTTAGACCAGGCTCAAGCCCCCAGCTATCCCACATTTTTGCATAACACCTACCCAACGAGAATAGTCATCACCTTGCTCCGTCTTCCAGTCCACACAACACTTGACCTAACCCATTATATATGTGGAAAATTAAATTTACTTGGATGAATCTCATTAGATACATACCAGTAAATGGTAAAGATAATTATTCTTCATCAAAGTTACAGAAACAAGTAGGAATTTTAGGACACCTAGGTCGCAAAAAATGTCCCCCTTCGATACCTACTACAATCTATATCTCCACAAGTCACTCTGGGCCTATATTAATTTCAAATGAAATATACATCACCAGGAATTCTGGTAAAACGTTAATATAAATATGTGGACTGTATATTAAATTTAAAAATGAATACATATGCATTGAAGGAGAAGTTATCTTAATACCACTCACCAATTAGTCTGGAGATTACGGTGTGTCATACACAAAACCCCTGCCTAAAATATGAAGAAAACTGGCCAGAATTTCAACATAAATAGACATCACTCAGCTGTGGTAATATCCTGTTTCCATCTAATTACGGAGTCCTGTCCAGTCGCCTAATTCTCACGTTCTGCAGGACTACAATTCCAACAATTTCGGCTCCTATTTGAGAGGTTTTAAGCCCAATGTAACCTCTAGAGCGACGAAAATTCTTCCGATTTTCACTAACGTTTCTCTTGGTCAGCTCGTAACAATGGCGACTCTCTCCCCCAGCGACGCTCACCAATTTCACTGGTTATTTACAAATTAATTTTTATTACCTACAATATATTCCATCAATTTACATACAAAAAACACTATTTTCGGAAAATATACAGTATTTTCCAAAATATAAATTCTATCTAATATAGAGATTATTAAAGTGTATATATATATATAATAAGTTAAGTGGTGTTACGGGCCGGAAGACGGAGCTAATTAATGGCTATGTTCTCGTTGGGTTAGAGACGTTTCGTCTACCAGTGGCTCTGTCTAATATATTATTATTATTATTATAATCAAGGGGGAAGCGCTATAACCCGGAGGATTATACAGCGCCTGGGGGGGGATGTGGAAGGCATTCAGGCTTAATTCGGGGAACTGGAGCACAGATCCAATTCCCTAAATCAAGAGCCCCTCACCAACATCAAGGAACCTTCCTTGAGGGGTCTGTCTAATATAGAGAATAGAAAACAGCCACTGGTAGGCGAAACGTCTCCTTAATGCCAGCCCAAGTTACTACATGCGTAAACGTATTTCTTGCATACCGAAGTAATTATAGAGGGTACTTATAAAGACCTCAGAGAAATTTTAGGGGTTATCAGCACAACATTGGTATACAGTACCGACAAGTTGATGTCTTACATACATGTGCATCATCTGCGTACCTTTAATGATATTTGTCAGGATCTACAATACCATGGAATCTTTGTACACAACCTACTTGCTAACCTCTGGTGGCCCAGCTCGTGGTCATGACCTACTTCCACAAGTGGGATTCCGCCTATGACAATGTCTTTATCTGATGCATCTTATTTGACTCCAGTATATAAGCTTTCATCTTTCTGCCTGTTCTTCAGATTTATCTCCTCCTAGGTTGAGGGACTGAATACATCATCTACTATCTTAGGTATAGGCTTCAAGGCTGAGGGACTGATTACCTCCTCTTCTACAGTCTTCAGTTTGTCACAATTGTGTTGATAAAGCCACTAGTTGGCGAAGCGTCTCCTAAGTTTGATACCCAGATTTTGAACGTGCCTATTTTTTTTTAATCTTAGCTATTTACTGATATTTAAAATGGGTTATCCTTTTTCATGTGTTTATCGTGTATTTTTTTTATGGTTAATTCTAGCTTGAACGTTTATGTTTTCAGAGAAAAGGGTCCTGAATGAGCTGATACACAGAAGTTCTGTGTAAATGCAATATTTCGATTTCCTTTAATGTATGTACCATGAGATGCATGTGAACCTCTCGGTGTATAAGCCCTCCTGTATATATGCACCTCTAGGTGTATCAACCCAGAATAGTCTGTATAAATGTTGTAGGTCATTTGCCCATTGATGGCTCGCATGATGATAGAGGAAGAATGAACATGTTAAAAGGATAGAAAAAATCACAGCGGGTTAGCCGAAAAGGATTAATTTACGGTATAAGAGGCAATAATGGAAGAACACTTAATATTAAAATGATTTGCTAAGTAGAAATGAAAGTATTATAATAATCTTTATTTCCACAAGCATATGTTCAAGGTGTACAGGCCTAGCTGACATCAGTGGCATATTATATAAAAAGCAACTTGTTACGCAGAGCATTTCGGGCAAATTAGGTCAATTTTGTCCCCAGGATGCGACTTAAACCAGCCGAGTAACACCCAGGTACTTATTTTACTGATAGGTGAACATGGACAGCAGGTGTCTTAAGGAAACACGTCCTGAGAAACTGAATGGTACGAAGAGTGAAAAAACTGTATAGAAACTTAGATTAATGTAGATTCTAGTATTGCAATTTAATTAACTTTTTTTTAGTAATTAATGGAAAATATAATTCACCGCAAATTTCTCCAGAGCTCCAACAATCGGTGTATATGTGGCTATTATAGGTGTATGGTCTGTGTCTGCATGAAGGAGCTCACATCACATAGGTGCAGCCCCGCTTTCCAGGACTTGCTCACCTCTCTTATCTGTAGTGGTGCTCTGATTAAGCAGTTATCTTGCTTACCTCTCTTATCCGTATTGGTGCTCTGATTAAGTAGGTATCTTGCTTACCCCTCTTATCCGTATTGGTGCTCTGATTAAGCAGGTATCTTGCTTACCCCTCTTATCTGTAGTGGTGCTCTGATTAAGTAGGTATCTTGCTTACCCCTCTTATCTGTAGTGGTGCTCTGATTAAGCAGGTATCTTGCTTACCCCTCTTATCCGTATTGGTGCTCTGATTAAGCAGGTATCTTGCTTACCCCTCTTATCTGTAGTGGTGCTCTGATTAAGCAGGTATCTTGCTTACCCCTCTTATCCGTATTTGTGCTCTGATTAAGCAGGTATCTTGCTTACCCCTCTTATCTGTAGTGGTGCTCTGATTAAGCAGGTATCTTGCTTACCCCTCTTATCTGTAGTGGTGCTCTGATTAAGCAGGTATCTTGCTTACCCCTCTTATCTGTAGTGGTGCTCTGATTTAGCAGAAATTTAAAGCAAAGACAACAGTGCCTAAGTGTGCGCAATAAGGCTAACAGATTAGTAGGTTTTATTTTAAGAAGTACAAGCAACAGAAGTCCAAAAGTTAATTTACAGCTCTATACATCACTAGTGAGGCATCATTTGGATTATGCCGTTTAGTTTTGGCCTCCTTACTACAGGATGGATATAAATTCATTGGAGAACATACAGAGAAGAATGGCTAAAATGATTTACTGTATAAGGAATGTTCACTCTCTGGAGAGACGTAGAATGAGTGGGGATATCGTCAAGTGTATAAGTGGATGATGAGACACTAATAAATACTAAGGATATTGAACCAAGTAAGAACCAGAAATAACGGATTGAAGTTAGATAAATTTAGATTTAGAAAGGACATAGGTAGGTACTGGTTTTCGAACAGAGTTGTGGATGCGTGGAACAATCTTCTGAGTAGGGTGTTCGAAGCTAGGACCTTGGGTAGTTTTAAAAAGAGATTGGACAAATATACGAGTGATAGGGGCTGGGTTTTATTGATGACTTGGGTACTGGAGTAAATCCTTGGGTAGTGGTGGTTTTGACAAGGACCTCCGTTGTATAGGCCAGTAGGCCTTCTGCAGTGTTCCTCCATTCTTATGTTCTTGTGTATCTTGCTCACCTCTCTCATCTGTAGTGGTGCTCTGATTAAACAGGTATCTTACAATCACGTGGTGTTGCTCTAGCATAAGCTGGTATCTTGTCTGTAATTACAACTTACATGATGGAAAGAGAAGTAGAGGAAGAATGGTTGTTGTGAGGCGGCAGCATCAGAGATGAAAGCTTTTGCTTGGGCCACCAGACGCTGTGTCAGGGTAGGCAGGTATGCTGGCTGCTCTATGATTCTCGAATTTCTGAAAAGTGAAGAAGGTAAATTTAGGTGGGTCGTTAAGATCACAGTTCACCTGTACACTAGCATCCAAAAATATGTACCTATCCACTTAGACTAGCGACTTCAGCACGGGTAACCCAGCGGGTGCTACCGTGGTGGTCAGCCTCTTCCGTTTCTTTTTTAAACAAGACAAGTATTTCCTGACATGAGTCTTAATCATGTCGGTAATTCGTTGTATTGGTACTGTCTTAGTGTCATCGGCTACTCAATCTTCATGTTTGCTTTAGACACACCGTTTTTATTTTACACACCGGGTATCTACATCCGGGGTAGGTTGATTTATAAAAATTAAACACATTCACCATTATTCATTCAATAGCTGTCTTGTCAGAAATGTGAAAACAGACAACTGTTTGCAGGGCAGGTAACTGTATCTCTCTGCACAATCAACGTACAAATCGCCAAGGTAGATCCAAGAAAGGTTCCAGTGATAGCGAGAAAGTTTGATAGGATAGCACAAAAAAAATTAAGCGAAACATTGAGGAAAAATCATTAATCATCATCGACGGCACAATCGCTCCTAGAGATGTCACAGTTCAAGCACTAAAACACAAGAATCAACCCAGAGCGACCAGTATCGTCAACTGATCCCATCACTATCAGATATTTGTAAAATGATTGTGAGGTTACAGTGGAATGATGACTTGATTAACTACAATTCGGACTTATGTCACAGAACTTGTGTATGAACTCACCTGAAGAGCGGGCAGGAAACCTTGGAGTACGAGCAGAGGTGGTCATAGCAGGGCTGGCCCTGTGGAAAACACTGATCGCAGGGACACATGTCTTGGGAATAAGGCAGCCCTAGGTACTGGTCAAACCCGAAGTGTATAGGTAGATACTCTCTGGCGGCGCCCACACCCAAGTGCCACTTGCCCACTATCTGAGTCTGGTAACCCTGGCCACACAAATATTCAAGAAATGTGCATATAAACCGTCGAAGAAGAACGCTTTTCTTTAAAAAACAGCAGAGCTAACTTTTGCTGAACATATACACACTATATAATTATATATATATATATATATATATATATATATATATATATATATATTATATATATATATATATATATATATAATGTCGTGCCGAATAGGCAGAACTTGCGATCTTGGCTTAAATATCAACGCTCATCTTGCCATATAGGACAAGTGAAAATTTGTGTGTGCAATAATTTCGCGAAAATCACTCTGAACCTAAGGAAAAAAATATATTTCACTGTTTGTTTAGTATTAAATTACTGTAAACAAATCTAAAATATATTTAGTTGGGTTAGGCTAAAATAAATTGTTCTTGTTATAATAAGGTTAGGCAAGTTTTCTAAGATTCTTTTGGTGCAAAATTAAATTTTTTTATATTAACATTAATGAAAAAATATATCTTTAAACGTATAAAAGAAAATTTCAGAAAGGAGTTAATTTTAAATGAGTTCTTGCTAATTGACCAGTTTTACATATTCGGCATATATATATATATATATATATATATATATATATATATATATATATATATATATATATATATATATATAATATATATATATATATAATAACTATATATATACACTACACATATATATATACACACTACACATATATATATACACACTACACATATATATATATATACACACTACACATATATATATATACACTACACATATATGCACACACTACATATATGTACACACACTACATATATGTACACACACTACATATATGCAACACACACTACATATATGCACACACACTACACATTTACACACACACTACACATTTACACACACACTACACATTTATACACACACTACACATTTATACACACACTACACATTTATACACACACTACACATTTATACACACACTACACATTTACACACACACACACACACACACACACACACACACACACACACACACACACACACACGAATTTTTTTCATTCTACATCATCCACATCACGTATTAAGCTTCACTGGTCAGGCAGGGAAAAAGTCACCGTTTTGTTCGTCTATACGTTTAAAATTTAGCTGTCCTTCCTTTCTGGAATGTGATTAATAGATCATTAAGTTGTAATGGCGGCACTAAAACCAGTTATAATCAGTCTACTGATCGATCATATGAAGGTAAGCTCTACAAAAAAAAACTAATTATAACTAAAGCAAAGAACTCCTGCATCAAATTAGCAAATGCTTTGATTTTGTGTTTAATTTAAAAACCGAGACAAGATAGTCACCTGTCCTGTAACTTTATAATCACGTACGTATTGTTGACAAGCTCCAGACATGTTTCTACAACTTAACCGACAAGTGGAAGATTGAGACACTCTAACTTCATTTTGTATATTCACGCTTTTTTTTGTTATGGAGGTGCCCAGTGGCGTGACTTAGGACCAGTTGAATTTAATGTAGGATTAGCTTATTAAACAAATAACGCAACTATGTTATCATATCCCTTTATAATAAGCCATGATAAACAGATGCAAGCGTGTGTAGTGTGAGAAATACTGATAACCTGCAACCAGCATGAGTAGCCAACTAGTAACTGGCAACTAGTACATTAGATGTCATTGGTGTGCGCCCTGTTGAAATTAATATATTTTGCTGCACATGTTTTTATTTCTCTAAAAAAAAAAAAACAAGTCCATCAATTAGCAAAACCCAATTATACCCGAGGACGATGTGCGAAAGTTTAATGCACTTTATATTTACGCAGTCCTGAAGAAATTGTGGTATTTAACATTCGCAAATGTACTAGGCCCTTAGGAAAGATTGTTTTTATAACTAGTGTTGGGCCTTGCTAACAAGAGCCTATAAATCATGTTTACTACTTCCGTGGCATAAAGTACTCCACCCCAAAAAATAATGAACTAGTCCACCTTATGAGTCTAATACCCGACTCCATTGCCCACAATCTTACCATACCTGTGTCAGGTTTCTGACACAAGCATGCCACAATTAATACTCAAATAGATAAGAGTATTTATGGATGATAAAGAATCAGTTAAAATTAAGATGTCAACTTTAGATAAGTGGACTTATTTGAGGACAAAGAGTATAGCAAACAATTTAGTCTGAAGGGTAGAAGACCAATTGCACGCTCAGTTTCTGTACGAGAACCTTCAATGTATGACAGCAGCGCTACCAGCTGCACCAGTGGATTTGTGAACATAACCATCAACATCTATAATTTGTTGAAGAGTGCTGTGAGGAATAGTGGTTTGGAATGAGGTAATTTTCCCTGGTGCAGGGAAATGTCACTGTTGTCTTGCTTGACATAGATCATGTATCCTATTCATTCAGAGGTCAGTTCCAGTTTTTATGATCAATCTGGAATGCTTACTAGTCCTCTGTAAGATTAGCAAAGTCAGTTGTTGGTAATGGCAGGAAGTTTTCCCTCATTGGACTCCCTCCACTGTTGAATCAATATGTACTTTGTAGTGATCGTTATTAAAGCTTCTATGGGTGCTATGCGTCAGAATCTTTTCCCACACAAAGCTCGTTAAATCTAATTATTTTTGCTGTTTATAAAGATTCTTTGCGGTACCGACACAGCCTCACTCGTAGGTATGCTTACCTTTTTGCCACAGACAGTGCTAAGCACTCACAACTCATGGACCTCTCCCCAGCTACTATATAATCTCGTGTTTCATTTGTATCTATGATTTGAAATCTCTGGTAGACCAGACGTCTTGTAATAAAAATAATTCGCAAATGTTGTCATTAGCATGATCATCATGTCCAGCGTAGCATGGGCCAGTAAGCCTGCTGCAGTATTCCTCAATTCTTATGCTCTTAAACTACTCATGTATTGAGGAGTAAACCACTTGACAATACTATACACTCATTCAAGCATTTACAGGAATTGCATTTGTATTTCATAGTGGTATTATATGTATATGACCAATAGCAGAACCTGCAGCGTTTGAAATTCATAATAAATGTAGGATGAGATTATGGCCCTAGCATACCTTTTTCTTGAGGAGGGTGGCAATGGTCGTCTCGTTGCGAGGAAGACCAAGTGTGTTGTCTGCGGTGAACACTCCTGGGTACACCCCGCTTCGCACCTGCACCCGCCCAGTCAATAGCGACGCCCTGGGCAATAATGGATTCTCTCTCAAAAGTTGGAAACAAGCATTACATTAATAGTAATAATTTCATCACTTGACCATTTGTATTTTTAGCTTATCTTTATTGTACACCCCAGGGGCTCATATCCATTTTTGGGAGGGGGGGGTAGTCTGAAAATTATAGAGGCACATAAAGGGTCCGAGGACTCTGCCCCCAACATTCTGTTAACAAAGCAAGGTATAGAAACAAAGAAGCGTTTACTAAAGTAATGGATTCATTTACAGAAATAATGAGTTGGTTAAACATTTAGTGAATTCAGATTAGGCAAGCGCTTGTTTAATCTATATGCATAACTTCTACAAATTTATTTTGTCCTCCGGTGACGCCGCCTCCAACTGCTTCACCTCACCTGTTTGCATGTGATGTACTTTGATCAAGATTGATGGACTAAAACATCACCTTCAGGCTGAGAGACCGATTACATCTCCTAGTCATCTTCCACAATAAAGATACCCAAATTTTGCATTAGTGTCTCACCACAGTGTGTACAGTGTAGCAGATGCAACAAACTATATATGCACGAGAAATTTCTAGAAATTTGTGAGAACGCATCCGAGAACACCGGTAATGTCAAACTGCTCATCACCAGTATTATACTCTGAAACTCCCACAAGCTCACCCCGCCCAAACCAGACACACCTATCACATAGTTCCTGCACTCGTATGTAGAACCGGACCTATGACCCACTATATATATACTCCGTCTACTTCATATCTCTGTGTTGGATTGATATCGTCCCTGGCAAGTAACGTTTCCTTAACGTCCAAGTACCGATTTTACGTCTTAGAAAAAAATGACTGAATCATAAGTTTCTTCTTGAAGCATTACCTCAAGGTAGAACACTTAATTGTGAAGCACTAATTATTATTACTATTATTATTGGTATATTCACAGAGAAGCGTTAACCCCATGTCACAGTTCCTGGGGAATGGAGGTAATTAGGTTTGATAAAGAAGTTGAAGGAAACTCCAGCTCTTTGGATCAAGAGACCTTCAGCATCAGGAAAATCATTTAAAACATGTGAATCAGTAAACAGACCTAAAACTTTATACAAATATCATGGCTTTATTTGCTTGGTGTCTACTGCTGTCATTGAAATTAAGTTATAAGAGCACAAGATCTTAGTTTTGTGATTACCTGAGCTTCTGAAAAATGGTAAAAAAAAGAAAGATATTTCATAAATAAAAATTAATGTTTTATTTTTTTAACACACCGACCGTCTCACACCGAGGCAGGGTGACCCGAGAAAGAAGAAACATTTTCACCACCACTGTCTTGCCAGAGGCGCGCCGACATTATTGCTCAGATTCCTCTCCAAACTGCAGTATTCCCTCCCCTTCAGAGTGCAGGCACTGTACTGCCCACCTCCACGACTCAAGTCTAGCTAAGTGTTGTCCCTTGAATCATTTCATAAATGTTACCTTCCTCATACCCCAATACAAATAAAATAAAAATAATTAAAAAAAATTGTTTTTACCAGACGACAATTGAGTACGTTTAAGTAGCTTGTTTATATTTGTGAGTACCAGCTGCTCACCTGGAGGGGCTGCAGACGGGGCTGGTCACATAGAAATGAGTGAAGAACCTGCTCTCCCTGGCTAGCTGGTCCAACTGAGGCGTCCTGCAGTCATGAATGTAATATTTTAACACCACCTTAAATCACATCTGCATATTATTACGCGTTCGATTAATTTTATAAACGACCTTGGAATAATGTGTGAAGTGATTGTTGAATTTATAGTTTATCGATTTGGATAATTAAGGCTGCATTTCACCTGAACACTTAACATCAAGAATACTTTAATCTGTTTAATAGTCATTGAAGTAAACTATGTGTATACTATTCCTATATACTACATCATCTGCATAACTCGTGTGCTAGTTGTTACAGAGAGAACCTAAGTCTTAAATTTGTTAGCAAGAAATTAATACTAATGGATCGCTTCAGAAAGTAAATATTTACGTTAGCTTATGGTTTGAAGCCTTCGGTATATCCAGGGCTTCAATAATGTGGAACATGATGTGCGGATAGCCATGTTATATGCAAAGGGATTGTCACTGCTTGAACTTGCCACATCACATGTTGCTTCTACAGTTCCATATTTACTCTGTTATCTTGGGTTGGAAAACTACTTCATCACATCATTCAGTAATTCAAATTAAAAACTTTTTGAGAGGAACAAGTTGCTCTACTACTAGTTGTTATATGCCTAATAAAACTAGAGCTATTTACATTATCCAAAACAGGTTGTGTAAGAAAGGTATAAAATACCGACAACAGCTGCTACAACTAACCCATCCCTTTGGGTAGGACCTACTTCCACTGGGGAATCCCGCCTACCAGTGAATATGCCCTCGTCTGCTACACGTCCTTATCCACTGACGCCTATATAACCGCCAGTCTTCTTGCTTTAGCTCAAGACTCTCGTCCACCACGATGCTGTGAACACTAACTCCAAGGCTGAGGGACTGATTACCTCATCTTATGTATATATTTCTACTGTCTTCTAATTATGTCCTAGAATCTGTATTGATAAAGCCACTGGATGGCGAAACGTCTACAATAAAGATATCCAGATGTTACACATGTGTCTAAATTTTCATTATCCAAAACAACCATGAAATATCTAAAGCACCCACTGGACTTGCCTGGAGGTGGGATGACCTGAGAAACTGAGGTCGCCATAACCCAGGTCGTCAGCTAAGAGGATGATGATGTTTGGTAGTGTATCGTTGATCAAGTTGCAAGTCTCATCCAGCCAACACTCTCCTCCCTCCTTGAAGTTCACTTGCTCAGTTGGCACTTTCTTTGCATTTTCTTCATGCAGTTCGTGCTCATTGGCTCCTACTCTTCCAACGTCACCAAGTAATAAATTCGCCAAGAAACAGAGGAAAAACAGACGTTTCATTTTAGTTTCCTTAAAAAAAGATGAAATGTTCTTAGTTTTTGTAAGAGTTGTAACCGGTAAGACAAGGTCACCACGGCGCTCTGTTGCCGCCGCACCCACCGTCCAGCAACTACTGCATCAGTTGGTCCGGACCATCTGGTATTATTCACTAGATAAGATGCTATCAGTCATTTTCTTGATAGTAGGAGTATGTGTACTCGCTAGTTGTACTCGCCTAGTTGTGTTTGCATGGGTCGATTCACAGGTAATTCTTTCTCCATAAGCTTTATTATACCTCTTCTTAAAGCTATTTATGGATCCTTCCTCCAGTCCATCACTTCCCTGGCTGTTCCACTTTCTGACAACCCTGTGACTGAAGAAATACTTCCTAATATCCCTATGATTCATCTGAGTCTTCAACTTCCAACTGTGACCCAATGTTGCTGTGTCCCATCTCTGGAACATCATGTCTTTGTCCACCTTGTCGATTCCTCTCAGTATTTTATATGTCGTTGCCATATCCCCCCTATCTCTCCTGTCCTCCAGTGTCGTCAGGTCGATCTCCCTTAACCTCTCCTCGTAGGACATGCCCCTCAGCTTCGAGACTAGTCTTGTTGCTAACCTTTGCACTTTCTCTAATTTCCTTTGTGCTTGGCTAGGTGTGGGTTCCAAACTGGTTCTGCATACTATAATATAGGCCTAACGTACGTGGTGTACAGGGTCCTGAACGATTCTTTATTGAGATGTCGGAATGCTGTTTTTAGGATTCGCTAGGCGCCCATATGCTTGAGCAGTTATTTGGTTGATGTGCGCCTCAGGATATGTGCCCGGTGTTATACTCACCCCAAGATTCTTTTCCCTGTGTAAGGTGTGTAGTATCTGGCTCCCTAGACTGTACTCCGTCTACGGTTTTCTTTGCCTCCCCCAGTCTTCATGATTTTGCACTTGGTGGGGTTGAACTACAGGAACCAAGTGCTGAACCAAGCCTGCAGCCTGTCCAGATCCCCTTTGTATTTCTGCCTGGTGCTCATCCGATTGAATTCTTCCCATCAACTTCACATCATCTGCAAACAGGGACACTTCCGAGTCTATTCCTTCCGTTATGTCATTCATATATACCAGACACAGCACCGGTCCTAGGACTGACCTCTGTGGAACCCCGCTTGTCACAGGCGTCCACTCTGATACCTCGTCAAGTACCTGGGTGTGTCAAGTGTTCTTAGCGAATATGTACTTGAGTGTAAGAAGTGGATTTCATTTTTTGATTACTGTTACTAAAATTTCAGTACCTTGTATTAAAAATTCAGTTTTTCGTAGCGTGTAGCGAGTCTTCTGCAAATATTGGTATTTAAAAACGTCTCCTCCTGTTGTTCCTTCTTAATACTGAGTAGTTCATTGAGATCACATCTATCCCATCGCCACACTGAGTACTTTATTGACACCATAGTACTCTTCCATCAAATACTGAGTAAACAAACACAGGCGGGGATAGAACCGCGGGTTCTAACCCCACCCCTGGTATGGTTTGTCTTCAATCGTGTCATTACGATTTCGTGAGCCACACTGAGTACTTTATTGACATCACAGTACTCTTCCATCCTCATAGCCACAGCTCATAGTCTATGGCTTTGAGGGAGGTGAGGATAGAGTTATTCTGAGGGCTGCTGGGGCTGTGGGAAAGGACAGTTAGGACACAGACGGTGGCCTCTGACGCAGACAGGACACAGCAGTGTCTTCTGTAAAGCTTATCTATTAGAATATCCGTAGCTCCGCAGTAAAGTCTGAACCTGTCAATCTCCAAACAACGGTTCGATCCTTCCCCCCCCCCTCCCGTCCACTACTGTTTATATATATATATATATATATATCATGCCGAATAGGTAAAATTGGTCAATATGCAAGAACTCATTTAAAATTAAGTCTGTTCTAAAATTTTCTCTTATACGCTTAAAGATATATTTTTTTCATTTATGTTAATGTGAAAATTAATAATTTTGTTGTAAAGGAACCTTAGAAAGCTTACCCAACCTTATTATAACAAGCGCAATTTAGTTTAGCCTAATCCAACTAGATAAATTTTTCATAAGTTTACAATAATTTAATAATAAACACAGTGAAATATATTTTTTTCGGTAGGTTCAGAATGAGTTTTGCGAAATATTGCATACAGAAATTTTTGCTTGCCTTATTCGGCAAGAAGTGCGTTAATATTTAAGGGAAAATCGCACTCATATATATATATATATATATATATATATATATAATATATATATATATATATATATATATATATATATATATATATATATATATATATATATTATAATGTCGTGCCGAATATGTAAAACTGGTTAATTAGCAAGAACTCATTTAAAATTAAGTCCTTTCTAAAATTTTCTCTTATACGTTTAAAGATATATTTTTTTCATTAATGTTGATGTAAAAAATTATAATTTTGCACCAAAAGGAACTTAGAAAACTTACCTAACCTTATTATAACAAGCGCAATTTATTTTAGCCTAACCCAACTAAATATATTTTAGATTTGTTTACAATAATTTAATACTAAACAAACACAGTGAAATATATTTTTTTCGTTAGGTTCGGAATGATTTTGGCGAAATTATTGCATAAACAAATTTTCACTTGTCCTATATGGCAAGATGAGCGTTGATATTTAAGCCAAGATCGCAAGTTCTGCCTATTCGGCACGACATATATATTATATATATATATATATATATATATATATATATATATATATATATATATATATGCATGTCTAGGTGTGTGATAGAAGAGTATCGTGGAATCTTGGGTAACCATTAGTCGAGTTCCTCCTGACACACTCGTGATGGTGTTAGATAAATTTTTCTTCTGATTTTTAACCCCGGAGGGTTAGTCACCTAGGATAACCCAAGAAAGTCAGTGCGTCATCCAGGACTCTGTCTTATTTCCACTGAGGTCCTCAATCTTGTCCCCCAGAATGCGACTCACACCAGTCGACTAACACCCAGGTACCTATTTGCTGCTAGGTGAACAGGACAACAGGTGTAAGGAAGCACGTCCAAATGTTTCCACCCCGCCGGGAATCGAACCCGGGCCCTCCGTGTGCGAAGCAAGAGCTTTAGCCGCCAGGCCACCGGCGCCACCATGGTGACACTCCCAGCACGTGTCAAGGATGATGATAATGCTATCTCCTCTACCTATCCACTTTTTCCTTTAGTTCTTCTTTCAAACTTTGAGTGATGTCTTCCCAAAAATCATCACAAAGGAATGAGACTGAATCATCGGAAATTTTGTAAGTTAAATTATAGTGATGACAATGGTGCTGATAGTTTCCATGTAATGTGATATAGTGCCTTTGTTTATTTTGTGATGTGATAGTGATGCAGATGTTTATCATGTGATGTAATAGTGCTGATGTTTATCATGTGATATGATAGTGGCACTGATGTGTATCATGTGATGTGATGGTGGTACTGGTGATGGCGTTGGTGTTCATAGAATATGTTCTCACTTTTAAAATTACTTTGCTCTTGAGATCTGTAGGGACTGACTTCACTGTTTAATATTTCTAAGGCCACCAATTGCATTGCAGTATTATTAGGTATTTTATTGAAAGCAACGCTTGTTACGTTATTACTGAACGTTTGTTGAAATGTAGATTATTAGTATATTAAATATGTGTTGAAATTTACAATTGTGTTATGTAATTAAATGTTTGTCCAGTCATTTGTCCATTGAATTTTATAGCTTATAGTTGTAGGCTGTTAATTAAGTCCCTTCTGAAATGTGTGCGTTTTCGTAGTGCCTCGGTAATTCCAATCTCGTTTATTAAGTATCTTTGTTTTTCATTAATTGAGTAGACAAGGCTCACTAATTAAGCCTTTCCATTACAAAGTTCAGGTATGACTATGCTCTTGTATTTGTTATTAAGGGCAAGCCTGTCAAACTATAGCCACCAGAGTACTGTTACAACTGTTTTGTATTTATGAGAAACATACCTTTGTTTATGGTGACACCCGCTGCATCAACTACCTCTCAGGCTTATGGAAGTTAAATCTCGTCACTATTTCGCATACACATTTCAAAAAACGTGTCCAAGTCTCCTACTCTTTCGTATCTATATCTGCCTGTATACCCACAACCTTCTTTTTTGCTCTAACCTACCCTCATCAATCATTGTTCTTGCTAGACCGTTTGGCAAAAAACTAGACTGTTTTTGGTAGCTGCGCGATCCGAGAAGGTAACCTCCCTCTTATCCTGTAACCTCAGTCCTTTGTCTCACTACTCACGCAAGAAGCATAATTCTTGAACCTCCAAGCCCCTAAAAGGCAGAAGAACTGTAGCTAAATTCCCTCACAAAAAGTCTGCTGCACAGGCGAAATGTTTCAGTATTGCACATGTCTGATTAGTCAACTTATCAGTACTGTATACCATTAATATAATTATTAGTTTATGACCAAGGAACTATATTTCAACCCTTCTAAAAGGTTCAGTAGCTGGAGAATACTTTGAAGATGAGCAGGAGTCTTAGCTCAACACTCTGAGGTCTAGCAACTGTAGCATAAAATCATCAAAAGGACTCTGGGTCTTTTGAGAATTTCCCCACTACAAGCATGCACTCCTCCCCCCACCATCAACACACTCTTCTCCCCCCACCTCCCAAGGAATCGTAACTCCAGTTCTTCTGGAACGAAACATTTGAAGCTTCCTGGCTGGACGGAATGCTTGATGATATCTTCATCATCGGCCTACTGAAGTCTCCCAGCTTAGACTGACAGATTTCAAAACTTGTGTGAGCACCATCCTGCGTGGTGGAATGTGACAGGGAAACGAGGCTAGCTTTTGTTCCCACTGACATAGAATAGGGTAGCAGCAAACTGCGGAAGTATATTTTAATAAATAAAAATAACCAGCTTCCACTGCTCTCTACCCACTACTCTCCCACTAGCTCTACAAACAAGTAAATTTATCGTGTCGATGTAATTTCTTGTTTGGGATATAACAATGTTTTCCTGGCAATATGGTGCACCCATGTATCCGCTTTATTTGATTTTAACTGTTGCAATCCTAGCCAATCAGATACGTGTTATTTATGCTAGGTTTTTACGCCTGCTAGGCTCCAGTATAATATTATTTTTTTTTGTATGAAATGTTTGTCTGATATTATTTATGCTTGCTGTGCTTGCCTATGGTGTTATGCCTTCCAGGGTTTCCTGATTTATTAATGAATGCGTCTCTATAGTGTTATACCTACTAAGCAAGTTCATGCTGTTTATACTTTCTAGGCTTATGATAGTGTTGTTGCATTTGCTAGGTTTGACATTAATGTTACGCCTGTTAGGCTTACTAATATTTAAGCTTTATTTCTGGTGATAACAGCATTACTTATTTTTTAGTGGTGCTTTTTTCACAAATAAGTTTGTGCTGCTAATTAATGTGATTCTTGAGCAGAAGGAAAATTGCCCTACTAGAGATAGGGATAATTATCTTTTAGAGCCTTAGATCGGCTATGACAATGGAAGTTTATCCACATCCTGACATAGACAGTAAACACAGCTCTTGTATATCGTCTCATATGGGTGATAAACGTCAAGGAAAGAACAGTTAGTCACTTGTAAATTATTCAACGATATGCATTCTTGTTCTGAAATTTGCACATTAATCATAGGAATTGTCAGTAGAGTAGTCTAGAAGACGTAAAGGTAATATTCCTTACACTTGTTACTCCTTTTCATGTGACACTTTATACCTTAATTTGAAACATACTAAGATAAGGGATGAATTCAGGGTGACAGGTACAGAAGTAGTGGTGATAACATTTTCATGTCACAGTATAAAAACTTTACTATCAAAATAATGCGAGAATAACCTCAACATTAGATTACTGATGTTTATTTCCAACACTCGCTCACCCTCTAAGAAGAGTTGATCTTAGAAAGTTTAATTTTAGCCGAGACAATATAGAAGCGAGAACGACAGGGGTCAGGGAATGTCATAGACAAATACGGGCGGAATTTTTGAGACGGAATAAGAATATGGGAAATGAAATTCTGAGACTGTCAGTAAGCTCATTTACCACCTATAAACATATGGTTATTCGCCTTTTTCCTATTCAAGCAGCGGAGGGGAAGGGGAGGGGGGAATGTGCCTTGTTTGAGAAAGGCTCTTGATGCACGGAACTGGATCAAATCTGATTCTATATGACCCTACAGGTTTATCTGTTTCCTCACGAATATAATATTTTCCTGTATCCCATTATCTCGTGTTGATTCACGTCTAGTTACGTGATTAGCATAAGGGTAACGTGAAGTGTTTCGTGACTGAATTCAGGTTTGTATTAAAAACCCGTTGCGGTTATAACTAGATAAAAAAATCTGTAAATAGTTTATTGCCACCATTCCTTGCTTATCTACGATGATACCATTGCCCGGTCCCTGGGCTCATTATCTGCCATGATACCAGTGCCCGGTCCCTGGACCCATTGCCTACCATGATACCAGTACCCAGTCCCTGGACCCATTATCTACCATGATACCAGTGTCCAGTCCCTTGACCCATTATCTACCATGATACCAATGCCCAGTCCCTGGGCCCATTGTCTACCATGATACCAGTGTCCGGTCCTGGGGCCCATTATCTACCATGACACCAGTGTCCGGTCCTTGGGCCCATTACAATGATACCAGTGCCTGGTCCTTAGGCCCATTACCATGATAAAAGTGCCCAGTACCTGGGCACATTACCATGATACCAGTGCCCAGTCCCGGGGAGGATTATCTGCCATGATACCAGTGCCTGGACCCTGGGCCCATTATCTACCATGATACCAGTGCCTGAACCCTGGACCCATTATCTACCATAATACTCGTGCCTGGTCCATGGGTCCATTACCTTGATACCAGTGCCCGGTCCTTGAGTTCATTATGTGCCTCTGTAATCTTTTCACTGTCGTCCACGAGATAGATAAGAGGTATATATAAAAACAATGTTAAATAACCACAACGTAAAGAACTAGTTAAACATCATCTCGGTCAGTGTTGCACAACACTGTTGAGGACCGAGCTTTACGACATTCTTGCCAGGGGTTCTAACCCCACCCCGTACCGCAGTTTAGCAATATTATTTTTAATAAAGTTCTGTAAAAAAAAAAACTTGGGTTTTAAACAGTACTGAAAAAAAGAGTTTAAAGTATTTTATACAATGCTGAAAAAATGTATTTATACAGTGCTATGAAAAATAACTATTTTTATTTCATACAATACTATAAAAAAAGAAGTCATTGTATTTTACGCAGTGGAAAAGGAATTGATGTATTTTATAAAATACTATGAACAACTAATATGTATTTGATACAATTCTGAGGAAAAAAATCTGTCGATCTGTTACAAAGCAAATATTTGGGCTGAATATCAATAATTAGTTTACACAAAATATTTTTTTAATAATACAAGGGCTGAACGAGCTTATGTTATTTAATAACACCATGTTACGTATATACAGTTCTAGAATTCAACTAATTTTTTTCTGTTATTATTATTAACACGAAGGAACGCGAAACTGATTTTAATGACCTTTTTCAAATCAAAGTTTTATTGAGCCAACGTTTCGCTCTCTGTGTTGAGCTTTGTTGACTTACTATTAAGTGCTGTACAGAATGAAACGTTGCAACTAAACGTATTTGGGTCGCTGCACTACCCGAGAAAAGTATCCCCATATTGTATAACGCCAGTCCTCTTCACCTCACTCTACGCTACTGTAATAGTGCTGAGTGTAGTATAAGTTTGTAATCCAATTAAATATTATCACTGGAGATCTGAAGGGAATCATAAGAGGCATTTACAAGTTACTACATGGAAGCTAATATCCCAATTTCTTCAATAAAAATGGCAAATTAGGTGAAGCTCTGACCCCGTAGGAGTCATACAGCGCCTGGAGAATGGGAGGCATTCAGATTCGATCCAAGGAAGGGGAGAATAAGTTCAGTTCCTTGGATCAAGAGCTCACTGGCATCAAGGGGTATTCCAACATGTAATTTTTCAGCATCTTATTTTCTTTTCTTTTTTCTTTTTTTTAACTTTTCTAAAAGATGGATGAACAACAAGCTGGATGAACCAACTCGATGAACGGAGGGTCGAACTATGGCAAATCAGTCCTAAAACTAGTAGGTTATCCCACTGTATAGTGGATAGCTGGTACGGTACATTGGATAGCAGGCTATCCATTGTACTGTATCAGGCCGGCATGGCAAAATGGTGAAAACACTGGCCAGGACAAAACTGGCTTGTCATGGATTTGAAACCTCTTTCCGCCTATATTTAAGGTACCCGAAGTTCTGACGCTACCAGGGGGTTTGTGCCAATAATCTGCAACGCTATTACTAAGCCAGTGTTTCCTTACGTCCTTTCTAAATCTAAATTTGTCCAACTTGAATCCATTGTTGAGAGTCCTATCTTGGTGAGAAATTTTCAGCAAGTTATTTATATCCCCTTTATTCCTGTTTAACCTTTATACACTTCAATCATGTACCGTTTATTTGTACTCCTTTCCAGACAGTGCAAAGTTAGTGCTTTCGGTCTATCTTCTGAGGAAAGGTTTGTAATACATGGAATCCATCTTGTCACTGCGATTTCTCGGCAAGTTGGATAATAATTGAGGCACAGGAAAACAACTTTTATTATTATTATTATTATTATTATTATTATATATATATATATATATATATATATATATATATATATATATATATATATATATATATATATATATATATATATATATATATATTATTTATTTATTATTGTTCAGTTTCACAACATTAATGCTATTTTGTATCTCCGCAAGTTAAAAATACAGTAAGTAGGACAGAAAAATAGCATCAACAGTTTGCTTGTATTCTTTCCCATCTAAGTGTTTACAAAAAGTTTACATAATATATGTTAGGCTAGGTTAATGTAAATTGACCTACATTTACCTATGTTTGATCGGCACTAACGAATTGACATAAACGGATGGCTTGTGTTTGGCAGCGCTGGATATATCGTAGCATTTCCCTTAAGTTTTTTTTTTTTATTATTTTTGCATAGGTATGACCACTAATATTGAAGTTGGAGGGTGGGCTATATTGTAGTATAGCCAGGAGAGTGACATGTGCACCTTAAACTAGAGCATTGTCATAGCAATAAACACCAGTACGTCTCCACTTAAAGCGTAACCTCGTCAACTCAATTTGTCGACGTAGGAGTGTCTCAAGACAGAGTTTTTGATCTTGATCTCTCCAACGCATCTCATCTCCTTAAACTTGTTCTGTTCGCAGATGACAAGGCTTTTGTCATCTCCCACTTAAATCCGACTACTCTCAGCGACACTGTTAATGATGAACTCATAAAATATGTATGTGGATGACTACCAACAAATTCACCCTTGATATTGTCAAAACCTACTACATGATTTTTGGAAACAGATCTTCAGATATCGTAGAGGTGGTAGCTGGACAAAGACGCAAGCATGGAGAACAAGCCTCGATTTGGACAACGTTATGCTCTAAAATAGTTAAATGATACATACAAGCAGGAGACAATGTTTCGTTTACATGAGGCTTTATCAAATACTTAATAGTCTCGTGTAGGTAAAATGATATATTAAGAGGTCAAAACGTTCTTTGCCTTCTCGACTATACCATACATCAATTATGTTTGTGCTTTAAGTAAAGACTGCAGAGATTCCTTAGCTTGGAGATTAGGAGGTGCGGGTTTACTAAAAGTATTATCCATTGGGCTGAAGAGGAGTGTTTGAGGTGGTTCGGACATTTAGATAGGGTGGAACAAAATACTGACATGGAGGGCTTATAAATCTCAACATACAGATAAACATTGACCAAATAAAGGCTTCTTCTGAATACTTAATTCATGGTTGCGATGTTGGGTTGCGGAAACTACGGTCTCTTCCAAAATGGCTGTTTATCATGAAGGTGGTAGCTGTTGATGTGGTTGGGATGTGTAATTACAGGGCAGTCACAGCACTCGGGGAAGGGCTGACAGGAGGGTTGGTTGCAGCAGGGCTGAGCTAAAGGGTCTGTGGTTGTGGTCCTGGGCTCCATCCACGTCATGGTCTTCATGTGTTCCTCTCTCCACTCTCTCAACATATCCATAACCGGTCTATTGATGATTAGAAATATTACAAATACACGTAATTAAAAAAAAGTGAGTGGCAATGTTGCGGCTAAAATAATTTAAACAAAACACTGATAAAGTGAAAGCATAAGTTTCGGTTCGTCTGCCCTGTCAGTTTTGGAATACATTTTTAACAATAAACTTCCAAGACCCAGAAAAAAGCCTAACTCTGTTCCTGAAACTGCAAGAAATGATGGAGGAAAACCCTCAAAGACTTGAAAACACGAGCCTAGCTGTTCCTGTAACAGTAACAAATAGTATATTATTATTATTATAATCAAGGGGGAAGCGCTAAACCCGGAGGATTATACAGCGCCTGGGGGGGGATGTGGAAGGCATTCAGGCTTAATTCGGGGAACTGGAGCACAGATCCAATTCCCTTAATCAAGAGCCCCTCACCAACATCAAGGAACCTTCCTTGAGGGGAACAAATAGTATAGTCTAAATATTGATAGCACGAGCCTAGCTCTGTTCCTGCAGCTGTAACTAATGGGTCAGGACAAACCGAAATGTCCAGTTTTCATTTCCAATTTGTGGAATAGTAATGAATTGCCTCAGCCACGTTATTGTCTTTTATATTCTTTACAAACAGGCAGTATTCCATGCAGACATACACACACGCATACTCCATCGCTTAAAAAAAGTGTATGCTAGAGATAGAAACAAAGAATCAGTTAAATATTAACATGGTGTAGCCTCAGTGACAATGATACTCACAGGTAGAGGGAATCATTGGCCAAGTTGTATCGTTCGCCGGGGTCGTTGTAGAGGTTGTAGAGGAGTGGGGGGTCGTGATGGGTGAGGGGGTGGCTGGCAGGGCACAAAGGGTCGTAGTTGTCAGGGTCCGACAGATCTGAGAAACATATGCTTAAGTTATATTAAATCATCACACAGAGTATATATTCAGAGAGGTGCGTATCCGTACAAATACACCAAGTGGTATATACATAAGTTTGTATATTTCAGAGTATATACACCTAGATTATATATAAGCACACACAGGTGTGTATGTGTGCAAAAATAACCAAGAATTTACTTAAAAGCCTATTGTAAAATTTAAAGTATTCTTGATGTTTGTGTACAGATGAACTGTACACAGTCTTTAATGACGCGAACCCAATCGATGAGCTTTAAACCTAGCATATTAACAATGATAATGGTGATAATGATAGTAATGGTTGTATTAATAGCATTATTTTTAGCAATAATAATAATGATGGTGAAAAACGGAAGATTCGCCATTAAACTGTTGAATATTTCCAGCCATAACGATATAATTTTCTCTATAGTGAAAACTAGCGCATGTCATGAATGCCAATAAGTGAAATGATAAATATTTGCAGTGCCCGCACACATTTATTTTATTGGCAAAACTGGATATAGCACATCGTGGGATACCCTGATTTTTATAACATTTTACAAAGTTTAAGCAAGAGTTAACTACGTTTTTTGCCTAACAAATTCATTACACAGAATGAATTTTCATACAGTAGTTTTGATACATTAGCTGCGAGTTCAGCTGTAATCCTCAAGCAGGTCTGGAGTTACTTTCACCTGGGCACCATCACACAGAATGGTGAGAGTTTAGCTGTAAATCCTTTCAGGATGTCTGTGGTATCACTTGGGCACCATCACACAGGATGGTGCAGTATTTGTCACAGTAATGACAATGGCAAGACTAAAGTACACATTAAGTGTTCTTACGTAATAAAATAATAATAATAATAATAATAATAATATCTATATTTCTACAAATACATGTACACGGTATACAGGCCTAGCTGACATCAGTGACATACTACTATATACAAAGCCGCATTTCGGGCAAATTAGGTAAATTTTCTCCCAGGATGCGACCCACACCAGCCGACTAACACCCAAGCACTGATTTTACTGATGGGGAACATAGACAACAGGTGTAAAGAAACACGCCCAATGTTTCTATCCTCGCCGGGAATCTATCCCGGACCCTCGCCACGTGAAGCGAGAACTTTAGCCACCATCATACGGAGCACCTTACGTAGGCACTTCAAACAGCCACATCTAATTAAAACCATACACTCATAAGGAAGCTTACCTGACCCTATGGTGTAGAAATGAGCCTTATATGTACCATTGGTGACTGCAAAGGGTCCCAGGGACTGCTGGGGTGACTGCGGGTATATAGCGTACATCTTACGGGGACTCTGGTGACAGTAGTAGTAGTAGTAATGTGAGAGAAAGTCATGAGAAAGGTTAAAAAATGATCACAATACTGTTAATTAATAATAATATAATAATAATAATAATAATAATTGACACTGATACAATAACATCTAGTAATTTGTGTTGAATATTTCTTCACTGCAAGTTGTAGATCTTTTTTTTTATCCTATTTCCATAAACAGCTAGTGGTTTTTTTTTTTTACCATGGGCATATACGGTAACTGTTACCAGTGTCAGCATTTTACAAATAGAAATCGCTCAGTACAATTTAGTATCGTGTTTGTCTTGCTTTTAGCAGACTGAGGGGTTGGGAGGAGAGCGAGCCTCCACCTACACTGAATGAATTACATGGGTTTAGCGCTTCAAGTAAATAAAAATTATTCTCAAAGAGGCAACCACCTTAGCGAGAGGATCCCTGAGGAGGGGCGAGAGGTCGACGCCGTCCAAAGTTAAGTTAGAGGTGTCTAGGTGAACCAGAGACGCTAGGGTGGGGAGTATATCCAGTGTTGATGCCAGACCCGACGTTTTACCTGGTGCCGTTGAAGATACTAATTAATAATAATGTGAAATTGTGGCAACAGTCAACAATAGTAATAAAAAAAAACTAGAAAACGGAAGAACCTTTAAAGAGGTACGCGACGTTTTGTTCAGTTGTATTGAACTTTCACTAGAAAAAGTTCACTACATGAGAATGAAAACTCATGTATTTCTATAAATAACACTTTTTTTGTTGTCCTGATTTTTTATCAATAACATTCGTAATTATTATTAATTATTTTTACACTAGATATTTATTTATTGCTTAATGTCACCTTGTTTGTAAATGGGACCCTCGATCCATTTATCTTAGGGAGAGAATTTCTTACGTTACATGGGAAATATAACCTGGTTTTCTTAAGAAGAAAGAGACTTGTAACAAGCTATTGAGTAACTCGACCACATTACATATTCTTCACATGTTCCGCTTCTGTGGCAACACAAATATTTCAGTGTACAAACAGTTCATAAATATATACGACCACATTTATAAATTAAAATGCTTCCAGTTTACTTTGATTAACCAGGGGCTTTCCAGTAAGTTTGTAAAATATGTTTCCTCATTTTACAACAATTGTGTACTGCACTTTCTGGAAATAAAAGACTTCAATTTCAAAGGAGAAAACTTAAGTTAATTTTGGACTTTATTATAACTTATGGCTTTCCTCACTACACTGAGGTCAAAACATACGTAGTGTTCAGTGATTAAAGGCATTTTGTAATAAGTGTTTATCAGTAGCAGCGATACACTTAACTCATTGTCGGTGAGTAATTGATGTAAAGCATAAAGTGTGTAGAAACATTTTTACTTGATCTGTTAAGTTACTGTTGGATCATGCTCGTGTAAAAGTGTGACATCCATAGTTTGCAAAGTGTTGAAAGACCGAATATGAACTGCTAGATGAAGATACTGACTCGGCGAGCTCACAAATTATCGGCGGGAAGGGTTTGGCTCAATACAGAAGATTTATTAATTAAATGGCATAACCTTAAGGTAATGTAGCACCGTTACAGAGGGATAATGATTGCATAAGATGGCAGTAGATTTAGTAGTTACAGAGATTACCACTTAACACCACTATGAAACGCAACTAAAATACTAACTAGAAATTTTAGGGTGAAAAAAAAAAATATTCTAACATCTTAGCTGTCCCCCAGTTGAGGCAAAATGCTGATGCAAGAAAATATTTTCAGAAAATCAATTTCTGTAAGGTGAAAATACAAAATGCGTATACCAACAGACCCGGTGTGATGTAGGGAGGCCAATGAACGAAGGCAGGAACCCTGACACCTCCCTCCCAGGTGGTGCCCTTCCCACAACGCAGCAGCCCAGCGCACCCTCCTCGCTCATGTCGCGTCAGGCTCGGTCTGTTAGTGAAGGAAATTGTTATCGGCTTCTTTACAAAGGCTAATATAATGAAGTCAAGTATTGTTTGGCGTGGTTCGTGGCTGAAGTGGTAGCGTCTTCAGCACTCATCTGAAGGACCTCGGTTCGATACAGGTGGAAACGGGCATGATTCCTTACACCTGTCCTTCTGTTCACCTAGTATTAAGTAGATACCTGGGTGTTAGCCGACTGTTGTGGGTCGCATTTGCCGAAAGAGGATCATAGGATGTCAGTGAAAATAAGCCATAGTGACTTTACTGGGTAGTCCTAGATTACTAACCCTCTGGGTTAATAATCAGAATAAAATCTCTCTCTCTTGCCTAGGGTGCGACCAACAACAGCATACTAAACACTGTACCTATTTATTGCTAAATGAACGTGTGTAAGGAGACATTATCATACGTCTGGCTCTGCCTGGTAATCAAACCCAGGGCCTTTCGGTTATAAGCCGACTGCTTGCCTACAGGTCTAAACTCATTGGTCAAGATTCACGTCGAGCTTGCAGGTATTGTAAAGAAATATTCGAAAATATGACGGTGTCTGGGGTGTCCATGTCATGTTAGTCAGCACAAGGTGTGCTTCCTATGTGATGGGAACTTGGGTAATAACCTCTCCCCGTTATACAACGCAATTTTTAGGCGGTGGTACTATGCTGTATGTCAATTTCAGAACGCTTCAATTTCTTTCAACTGCCATTTGCTTTAAGTAAGGCCTTTGATAGAGTTGCACGCAGGAGACTGATGAAGAAAATAGCGGCACTTGGTATAGAAGAAAGTATCTCCTGGGTTGAGTTACGGCTAACCCACAGGAAACGGTGTATGTGCCACAAGGGTCAATGTTGGGACCCTTATTATTCACAATACAATTCACAATACACATAAACGACCTGGGGAATGGTGATATAAGTTTGTCCATGACATTAAAATATATCGTCAGATATTTTCTGATGATGAAACTAGAAAGCTACAGGATGACCTGGAAGTGGCAGATGTGGTTTAATGCAAACAAGTATAAGTTATAGTTAGCAGAAATTTAATGCCAAGACAACAGTGCATAAGTGTTCGCAATAAAGCCAGTAGGATTCTTGACTTCACATCATGAAGTATAAATAATGAAAGTCCTAAGGTAATGCTTCTGATTTTTCTATATAGTCTTAGTAATGCCTCATTTAGACAAGGCAAAATATACAAAGAAACATGACGAACTGATCACATGTATCGGAAACCTTTCTTATGAAGATAGGCTGAATGCACTGAATTTCCTCTCTGGAAGGACTTCTATTTAGGGACGATATGATTGAAATATACAAATGGAAAATATGAATAAATGGAAGAATGTAAATAACGTACAGAAATTATCAAACCAAAACATGACACACAGCAATGGATTCATGCTGAACAGATTTAAATTTAAAAGGGATATAGGGGAGAACTGATTAGGCATTATTTTTATTATTATTATTATTATTATTATTATTATTATAAAAAAGAAGCAAATAGCGCTGTAGATGAGTGGGGAAATAAAAGTCTTAAGTAGTGTAACTGGGGCAAGAACCTTGGGAAACTTTAAAAATAGGTTGGATCTGTATACAAGTATATGTAGTAGGGCGAGCTGGAGCTGCCTAACATAGGCCAGTAGTCCTACTGTAGTGTTCCTTCACTCTTGAGTTACATAAACCAATAAAAACATTTAAACCACAAAAAATGGCCGCGATGTCTAGCATTGAGATGGCTGAGGAAAAATATAATCGTTCGAATTTCATGGTGTATCGCCTGTGGTGGGAGAATGAGCGTAAGTAAGTACACTTGTTGCTCAAACATTATTTAATGTTATATAAATCAACGTAGGCGTATGATGTACCTTGTCTAATTTTTTACAAGAAAAATAGTCAATTATTCACTGTCTCACTAATTTTGTAGAAGATTATTTACTAAAATAATGATGACATGAAAACTTGCATTATTGTTGTTACTAAGAATATCATGTTAATTTTAACGCAGTTCATTTATGTGCTAAATCAAAATAGTTTTTAATTCGGTATTAAGTTCCAATTAATGAACTTGATAAAGGATTATAACAATCACTAGGAAGTAACAGGGTAGTAGAAACCAAAGGTTGAAAAAAGTTTGTTGGGATGGGTTTAAAACTATTTTGATTCAGTACGTAAATCAACTACAATAATGAGTGTGAGTCTTAACGCCTTATAAGTAATAATTGTAGTACTGCAGTTTTTTTGTCAGGAGACATGGTAATTTAAATGTATAATTTTATTATTTATTAATATGACTACTACTGTCTGACAGTTTTCCAAGAATTGTTAATAAAAGCACTGACATACAATAGGAAGTGTAGGTGTGTAGAATTAGAGCATACACGTATATACTCAGTTATACGTGGCTCGCAGCTAAGTGATGGTGACTTTAGCATACAACTGAAGGAGCGGAACTTAGTACTGTAGTTGGTGGGCAGGTTAAGCATGGCTTGAATACAACTCTTGTATATGATCGCTTACAAGTAAATAGGTAAGAGGATGTTTTAAATCTTGTCACATCCTAAGAGGGTGGTTAGTACTTTATATAGAACTTGCCTTTGAAATGAACCGAAGTATTAGAGCATATCTTAACCTGCGAATTCATTGGTGTTAAAACTGAAGCCGGCACACTAAAGCCTAAGGGTATATATTAGACATACAGGCACATGTTTACACGCTGATTATACATACCCGTTGTCTGAGGTGAACCAAAGAAGAGTAGAATTGATGAGGCCGAGAGTGGTGAGTTGATCAACCACTTCGCTTACAGCCCAGTCCAGTTCATCAAGGGCGTCGCCGAATACTCCTCGCTCACTCCTCCCGTAGAATTCCTCGGAGGCGAATTGTGGGTGATGTACCTGTGGTCAGTGTTAGGATAAAGGATGATCAATTACTCGAGGATTATAAGTTTGCGATTCACATGTATACTTATATCATGAATATTTTAACTCACTGGATGCCAGAGGTAACAAATATGTAGTAACACCGACAAGTACGTAACATAGACACAGGCGGTAACTAGGATTTTTTAGATGTTGAGAACCAGTGGTTTTATTAATTCAATACAAAGAACAGAAAGCAGAGTATATACAGTATATCAGGTCAGGTGGTGCACGGGCTAGGTGATGGCTGTATTCTACTTGGGTAGGATTTGTTAGGTAAGAATTGCCAAAATAATTAAATCGCCTGTATTAGCAGTGGTGTTGGCAGTAGTGGTTAGAGCTGAGTGGCAGGCACTGTCTAGAATCTGCTCGCGTCGCTACTAACACCGCCATCACTCAGAACAAAGGCACTTTTATGCTTTCGAAAATTTTTGACCCGCAAATTTTACCCAACGAGAACACAGTCCTCAACTTACTCCGTCTTCCAGTCCATACACCACTTGACCCTTTACCCGGGGCTTGGTGGCAAAAGCTCTCGTGGTCAGTCGTCACGTGAGGTCACAGACCCTGAGCTGCTTTGGGGATTAGTGTGGACGGTTACAAAGCATGGCTTGCTTCTGCAGTGTTTTAAAAATTGAGGTTGGAGAGTTGAGGAGGAGGTCTTGCTTCTCCAGGAGGAGATTAGGAGGCTGAAGGTCCACCTCAATGGGTCTGGGAGAGAGTGTGAGGTGGCTGGAGTTGTGGGGAATGAGGCTTCTAGCAGTGAGGTGCAGTCTGTCTCTCGCTGTGAGGAGGCTGTAGCTGGGGAGGTAGCAACGGCTACCAGCAGTGAGGTGCAGTCCAGCACCTGCTACAAGTGGCGAGTGGTTCACAGTAATGGAAGGCGCATCAGAGTAAGGAAAGTTAAGAGTAAAGATCTGAAGGTAGGAAATCGCTTCTCTGTTCTTCAGGATGAATGTACTTCAGTGGCCAGTGAAGGTAAGGGTACTACTGCCCCTGCTAATGGAGGTAAGCGCATTCTTGTGGTTGGTGACTCTCAGGTAAGATATATTGACCGTGCTTTTTGTAATAGGAATAAGAAGATGAGAGACAGAGTGTGCTTCCCTGGAGCTGGTGTTGGGGACATTGTCAACAGGCTGGATAATATCACGTCAGGTAATGGGAACAAGCCCATTATCTGTCTCAGTGCTGGTGGAAATGATATTGGGAAGGGTAGGAGAGAAGAGCTGCTAGATAAGTACAGGTCAGCTATAGATTTCATTAAGTCTAAGGGAGGGATCCCAATCATATGTAGCATCTTGCCTAGAAGGGAGTAGGAAATGAATGGTTGTCTAGGGCAATTGGTGTAAATTGCTGGCTAGACAGATACTGCAAGGAACTTGCAATCCCATTCATTGACAACTGGAACAACTTTTATGGCAAACATGATATGTATGCAAGGGATGGGGTACATCTCTCTGGGGCTGGGGTGGTAGCACTTGCAGACTCGATTGAGAAGGCCATTGGTGAAATGCCTATGATTTTAAACTGATGGAAGATAGAGGTATGGGTGTGTGTGGGAAACAAGCAGGTTGCAACACTTGGGTTGGAAACAGTAAATGTATAAAAGGCATTCAGCATGAAGTTATAAATAAAGACAATAGATCAGGTCAGCAAACAAAGGGGGACAGCAGAGGGCAGCAAGGGACTAGCTCCCTTAAGGTTTACTATACTAATAGCAGGAGTGTAAGAAATAAGATAGATGAGCTAAGATTAATTGCAAGTGCAGGAAACATAGATATTATTGCTATAACAGAGACCTGGCTTAATCTGAAAGATAGAGAGATGCCCTCTGAATGTCACATACAAGGCTATAAATTATTCCACACTGACAGGGTCAACAGGAAAGGTGGTGGAGTAGCGATGTATGTCAGAGACAATTTAAATTGTTGTGTTAGACAAGATATTAAATTAGAAGCGTCAGCCACTGAATCTGTTTGGTTACAGCTTCTCGAGGGCCGAGAAAAACTAATTTTGGGTGTGATTTACAGGGCCCCAAATCTTGATAGGGAGTGCAGTAAACTTCTATGGGACGAAATTCGTAAGGCATCTACATACGAAAATGTTGTGCTAATGGGAGATTTCAACTATAGACAGATTGACTGGAGCAATTTGACAGGAAATTTAGAGTCAGGTGACTTTCTTGATACGATCCAGGATTGTTTTTTAAAACAGTTTGTGACAGAGCCAACTAGGGGAAATAACCTCCTTGACTTGGTTCTTGCCAGTAGGGAAACACTAATTAATAATCTTGAGGTTAATGATGAGCTTGGGGAAAGTGATCACAAATCACTCAGTTTTAATATATCATGGAATTCCCCTAATAATGGCAATCAAGTCTCCGTCCCTGACTTTCGCTTGGCTGATTTCATAGGACTGAAAAATTACTTAGGTGGGCTGAACTGGAATGACCTGACTAAGGGTCAGGTAGGTGGTGATGGTTGCCGATATGATGCTTTCCAGGGCATAGTTCTAGCTGCTCAGTCAAATTATGTTCCAAATAGGGAAATCAGATCAAACAAAAATGATCCTAAATGGATGAACAATAGATTAAAATATCTGATTGGTCAAAAGAGAGGCATATATAGGCAAATCAAAAGAGGAGAGGGGCAATTGAGAAATCGATATATTCAGTTAAAGAGAGAAATAAAAAAGGGAATTAGAAAAGCAAAAAGAGATTATGAGGTTAAAGTTGCAAGAGAATCGAAGACTAACCCAAAAGGATTCTTTCAGGTATACAGAAGTAAGATCAGGGACAAGATAGGCCCACTCAAAAGTTCCTCGGGTCAGCTCACTGACAGTGATAAGGAAATGTGTAGAATTTTTAACACATACTTCCTCTCAGTTTTTACACAGGAGGATACCAGCGATATTCCAGTAATGATAAATTATGTAGAACAGGACGATAATAAACTGTGCACTATTAGGGTCACAAGTGACATGGTCCTTAGGCAAATAGATAAATTAAAACCTAACAAATCCCCAGGCCCTGATGAACTGTATGCAAGGGTTCTAAAGGAATGTAAAGAGGAGCTTAGCACACCTTTGGCTAATCTTTTCAACATATCACTACAAACTGCAGCGCTGTATAGTCCTTGTGGCTTAGCGCTTCTTTTTGATTATAATAATAATAATAATCACTACAAACTGGCATGGTGCCAGATAAGTGGAAAATGGCAAATGTGATACCTATTTTCAAAACAGGTGACAGGTCCTTAGCTTCGAACTATAGACCAATAAGCCTAACCTCCATAGTGGGAAAATTTATGGAATCAATAATTGCCGAGGCAGTTCGTAGCCACCTTGAAAAGCATAAATTAATCAACGAATCTCAGCATGGTTTTACAAAGGGGCGTTCCTGCCTTACGAATTTATTAACTTTTTTCACTAAGGTATTTGAGGAGGTAGATCATGGTAATGAATATGATATTGTGTATATGGACTTCAGTAAGGCTTTTGACAGGGTCCCACATCAGAGACTATTGAGGAAAATTAAAGCACATGGAATAGGAGGAGAAATTTTTTCCTGGATAGAGGCATGGTTGACAAATAGGCAGCAGAGAGTTTGCATAAATGGGGAGAAATCAGAGTGGGGAAGCGTCACGAGCGGTGTTCCACAGGGGTCAGTGTTGGGCCCCCTGCTGTTCACAATCTACATAAACGACATAGATGAGGGCATAAAGAGCGACATCGGCAAGTTTGCCGATGACACCAAAATAGGCCGTCGAATTCATTCTGACGAGGACATTCGAGCACTCCAGGAAGATTTGAATAGACTGATGCAGTGGTCGGAGAAGTGGCAGATGCAGTTTAATATAGACAAATGCAAAGTTCTAAATGTTGGACAGGACAATAACCATGCCACATATAAACTAAATAATGTAGATCTTAATATTACGGATTGCGAAAAAGATTTAGGAGTTCTGGTTAGCAGTAATCTGAAACCAAGACAACAGTGCATAAGTGTTCGCAATAAAGCTAATAGAATCCTTGGCTTCATATCAAGAAGCATAAATAATAGGAGTCCTCAGGTTGTTCTTCAACTCTATACATCCTTGGTTAGGCCTCATTTAGATTATGCTGCACAGTTTTGGTCACCGTATTACAGAATGGATATAAATTCTCTGGAAAATGTACAAAGGAGGATGACAAAGTTGATCCCATGTATCAGAAACCTTCCCTATGAGGATAGACTAAGGGCCCTGAAACTGCACTCTCTAGAAAGACGTAGAATTAGGGGGGATATGATTGAGGTGTATAAATGGAAGACAAGAATAAATAAAGGGGATGTAAATAGTGTGCTGAAAATATCTAGCCTAGACAGGACTCGCAGCAATGGTTTTAAGTTGGAAAAATTCAGATTCAGGAAGGATATAGGAAAGTACTGGTTTGGTAATAGAGTTGTGGATGAGTGGAACAAACTCCCAAATACCGTTATAGAGGCCAGAACGTTGTGTAGCTTTAAAATAGGTTGGATAAATACATGAGTAGATGTGGGTGGGTGTGAGTTAGACCTGATAGCTTGTGCTACCAGGTCGGTTGCCGTGTTCCTCCCTTAAGTCAATGTGACCTGACCTGACTAGGTTGGGTGCATTGGCTTAAGCCGGTAGGAGACTTGGACCTGCCTTGCATGGGCCAGTAGGCCTTCTGCAGTGTTCCTTCGTTCTTATGTTCTTATGTTCTTCTTTACAAGGTGACGGTCTGGATTCGATTCCCTATGAAGGGGTGGAAACACCGGTTGTCTATGTTCACCCATCAGTAAAATAGGTACCTGGGTGTTAGTCGACTAGTGAGAGTCGCAACCTGGGACAAAACTGACCTAATGTGCCCGGAATGCTCTGCCTAACAAGTGGCTTTCTGTATAGTAGTATGTCATTGATGTCAGGTAGCCCTGCATACCTTGTACATGTACTTGTAGTAAATAAAGATATTATTATTATATTATTATTATCTAATATAGAGAATAGAAAACAGTGTGTATATATGATGTCATGTTAAGTGGTGTTACGGACTGGAAGACGGAGCTGAGTGATGGCTATGTTCTCGTTGGGTAGGAGACGTTTTGCCTACCAATGGCTCTATCTGTCTAATATACAGAATAAAAAACAGCCACTAGTGAGCGAAACGTCTCCTTAATGCCAGTCCTAGTTACTATATGCGTAAACTGCATCCACAAGTGCATGTACAAGGTGTACAGGCCTAGCTGATATCAATGACAAACTACTATAAAGAAAGCCACTTGTTATGCAGAGCATTTCAAGCAAATTAGGTCAATTTTGTCCCCATGATGAAACCTACACCAATCGACTAACACCTAAGTACCCATTTTACTAATAGGTGAACATGGACGGCAGGTGCCTTAAGGAAATATATCCTGAGGAACTGAATGGTACGAAGGGTAAACAACCTGTATACAAACTTAGGTAGGTTAATGTGGATTCTAGTATTGAAATGTGTTAATTAACGTTATTTAGTAATTAATAGAAAATATAATTCACAACAAATTTTTCCAGAGCTCCAACAATCAGTATGCATATGGCTATTGTAGGTGTATGATTTATGCCTGCATGACGGAGATCACATCGCCCAGGTGCACCACAGCCCCGCTTTCTTAGACTTGTTCACCCTCTTATCAATAGTGGTGCTCTGATTAAGCAGCTATCTTAGTTACAATCACGTGGTGTTGCTCTAACATAAGCTGGTATCTTATCTGTAATTACAGCTTACATGATGGAAAGGGAAGTAGAGGAAGAATGGTTGTTGTGAGGCGGCGGCATCAGAGATGAAAGCTTTTGCTTGGGCCACCAGACGCTGTGTCAGGGTAGGAAGGTATGCTGGCTGCTCTAAGATTCTCGAATTACTGAAAAGTGAAGAAGGTAAATATAGGTTTGAGGCCTATAGACTGCACGTGGGTCATTAAGACCACAATTCACCTGTACAGTAGCATCCAAAAATATGCACCTATCCACTTAGACTAGCGAGTCCAGCACGGGTAAAGCAGCTGTTGCTACCGTGGTGGCCAGCCTCTTTCTGTTTTTTTGAAACAGGACAGGTGTTTCCTGACATGAGTCTTACTCATGTCGGTGACACGTTGTGTTGGTACTGTCTTAGTGTTTTCGGCTACTCAACCTTCATGTTTGCTTTAGACACGCCGTCTAGCTTCACATACGCTGTAAGGTTGTAATGTAGGAACCTTTTATTTTACACACCGGGTATCTACATCCGGGGTAGGTTGATTTATAAAAATTAAACACATTCACCATTATTCATTCAATAGCTGTCTTGTCAGAAATGTGAAAACAGACAACTGTTTGCAGGGCAGGTAACTGTACCTCTCTGCACAATCAATGCACATATCGCCAAAATTAAAGCGAAACATTGAGGAACAGATTAATCATCAGCGACGACACAATCGCTCCTGGAGATAATGCCACAGTTCAAGTACTAAAAAACGAGTATCCACGCAGAGCGACCAGTGTCGTCAACAAGAACACTACTGATCCCATCACAGGACCGTTAATTTTGCAACAATCACATGTTTATAAAATGATTGTGAGGTTACATTGGAATGATGATTAACTACAATTCGTACTTGTCACTGACTTGAGCATGGACTCACCTGAAGAGCGGGCAGGAAACATTCGAGGGCCAGCAGAGGTCGTAGCAGGGCTGGCCCTGTGGAAAACACTGACGGCAGGGACACATGTCTTGGGAATAAGGCAGCCCTAGGTACTGGTCGAACCCGAAGTGAATAGGTAGATACTCTCTGGCGGCGCCCACACCCAAGTGCCACTTGCCCACTATCTGAGTCCGGTAACCCTGGCCACACAAATATTCAAGAAATGTGCATATAAACCGTCGAAGATCTTTTATTTTTTTTTTTTAAAAATCAGCAGAACTAACTTTTGCTGAACATATACACATAATGTGTGTGTACACACAAACACCAAGATGTACTCATATTAGCCATCTGTGGCCAATTTCCTAGGCCTGTATTACCTCGAGAGGGTTTCGGGAGTCAACGCCCCCGCGGCCCGGTCTGAGACCAGGCCTCATGGTGGGCTAGGGTCTGATCAACCAGGCTGTTACTGCTGGCCGCACGCAAGCTAACGTACGAGCCACAGCCCGGCTGGTCATGTACCGACTTTAGGTGCCTGTCCAGTGACTTCTTGAAGACAGCCAGGGATCTATTGGTAATCCCTCTTATGTATGCTGGGAGGCAATTAAACAGTCGTGGACCCGGACACTTATTTTGTTGTCTTTCAATATACTCGTGGCGCCCCTGGTTTTCATCAGAGGAATGTTGCATCTCCTGCCGAGTCTTTTGCTTTCATAGGGAGTGATTTTCGTGTGCAGGTTTGGTGCCAATCCCTCCAGGACTTTCCAAGTGTATATGATCATGCATCTGTCTTGCCTGCGTTCGAGGGAATACAGATCAAGGACCTTCAACCGTTCCCAGTAGTTTAGGTGCGTTATCGTACTTACGTGTGCCGTGAAAGTTCTTTGTACACTCTCCAGGTCTGCAATGTCGCCAGCCTTGAAGGGGGCCGTTAGTGTACAGCAGTATTCCGGCCTAGAGAGCACAAGCGATTTGAAGAGAATCATCATGGGCTTGGCGTCCCTAGTTTTGAAGGTTCTCATTATCCATCCTATCATTTTCCTAGCGAATGAGGCAGATTCATTGTTGTGGTATTTGAAGGCGAGATCCTCTGATATTATCACTCCCAGGTCCTTCACATTACTTTTCCGCTCTATTGTATGGTTAGAATTTGCTGTATACCCAGAAACATTTTTAATTTCTTCAAGTTTCCCATATTTGAGTAGTTGAAATTTCTCCTCGTTGAACTTCATATTGTTTTGAGTGGTCCATTCGAAGATTTTGATGTCCGCATGGAGTCTCGCGGTGTCTTCACTGGAGGTCACTGTCATGGTGTCATCCGCAAAGGAAGACACGAAGCTGTGGCTTACATCTGTCTATGTCAGAAATGAGGATGAGGAATAGAATGGGAACGAGTACTGTGCCTTGTGGAACAGAGCTTTTTACCGTGGCTTCCTGGGACTACTCTGTTTACTATTACTCTTTGTGTTCTGTTTGTCAGCAAGTTATAAATCCATCTACCAACTTTTCCCGTTATCCCTTTATCACGCATTTTGTGTGCTATTATACCATGGTCACACTTGTCGAAAGCTTTTGCGAAGTCTGTGAATACGACATCTGTATTTTGTTTATCCTCTACAGCATCCAGGACCTTGTCATAGTGGTCCAGTAGCTGGGACAGGCAGGAGCGACCTGCTCAAAACCCGTGTTGCTCTGGGTTGTGTAATGGATGGGTATCTAGGTGATTGGCGATCTTGCTTCTTAGAACCCTCTCAAAGATTTTTATGATATGGGATGTTAGTATTATCGGTCTGTAGTTCTTTGCAATTGCTTTACTGCCACCTTTGTAGAGTGGCGCTATGTCTGTTATTTTTAGTGTGTGTGGGATGACCCTGTGTCCATGCTCCCTCTCCATAAAATGCTGCAGGCACGCGATAGGATCTTCTTGCAATTCTTGATGAACACAAAGTTCCATGAGTCTGTGCCTGGGGCAGAGTGCATAGGCATGTCATTTATTGCCTTTTCAAAGTCTAGTGGAGTTAGAATAATATCCGAAATTTTTGAGATGACCAGGTTTTGGGTATCGTTCATAAAGAATTCACTTGGATTGTCGACCCTTAGTCTGGGCAGTGGCTCGCTGAACACTGAGTCGTATTGGGACTTTAGTATCTCACTCATTTCTTGGCTGTCATCTGTGCATGTCCCATCCCGTCTAAGCAGGGGCCCAATACTGGATGTTGTTTTTCCCTTAGATTTGGCACAAGATAAGAAGTATTTTTTTTTCAATTTCAATTTTCATTTAGTTCTTCCTGTGATTCTTGTCTGATGTAAGATTCATTCAGCTTAAGTTCGATATTTGCAGTTTCATTGACTAGTGCCTCCTTTCGTATTTCAGATATATTGGCCCCACTCAGCTACTCCGTGATTCTTCGATTTCGTCTGTATAGGGAACGTTTCTTTCTAGTTTACATCTTCTCTTTCTTTTTCTTAATGGAATGTGTCATGAGCAGATCTCAAGAACCACATAATTAATTTTTTGTTGGGATCCGTGTTGTTTAGGATATCTTCCCAGCTTGTTTTATTTAGGGCATGGTGTACTTAATCCTATTGTATGTTTTTGTTATTGAAATTGAATTTTGTGAAGAGACCTTCATGACTGCTCACATTTTGCTGTTCAGGAGCCCTGTGCATACATGTTTGTACCTCTATTATGTTGTGATCCGAGTGTATTGTATTTGATACAGTTATATTATGTATCAGATCGTCATTGTGAAGATGAGTATTTTCTAGTCTTGTAGTCTACTATTTGCTGGTTTAAGGTGAACTTGGTGCAGAGATTTAATAGTTCGTGTGTGTGTGTGTGTGTGTGTGTGTGTGTGTGTGTGTGTGTGTGTGTGTGTGTGTGTGTGTGTGTGTGTGTTTTCATCTGAGCTGCCTCCCGGGGTGATCTCTGCTAAAACATTGTTTACTATGTTCCTCCATTTTAGGTATCTCAAGTTGAAATCTCCTAGTAGTAAGATGGCTGGGGCAGGAGTTGGGAAATTTTCCAGACAGTGGTCAATTTTCTCAAACTGTTCTTGGAATTGCTGGGAAGTTGCATCTGGAGGCTTGTATACTGCCACAATGACAAGGTTTTGGTTTTCAATCTTTACCGCCAAAACTTCAACTACATCATTTGAGGTGTTTAGTAGTTCTGTGCAAATGAGCGACTCTGACATACAGGCCAACCCCTCTCCCTTGTTGCCTGTTTACTCTGTCGCATCGGAATAGGTTATAACCTGGGATCCATATTTCGTTGTCATAATGATCCTTTATGCTGGTCTCTGTGAAGTCTGCAAACATTGCATTTGACTCCGTGAACAGTCCCTGATGTATAAAAACTTTTTTTTTTTTTTTTTTTTGACGGCTTTAGACCCCGTATGTTTGCAAAGATAAATGTCGTTGTATTGGTGGAACTGAGGGGGGTTTTATTTGCTGGCTCTAATATATGTTGTTCTGGAGTAGAGGCCAATGTCCGTGCCTCTGCTCCAGAAGTGTTTTCAGTTGGTGTAGGATTATTGTCATTTCTTGCCAGTCTCTTTTCCCTCCTGGCCCTAAAAAACCTCTGTCCCTGAAGAGGTTGTGCGTCCCCTCTTTTGTTTCCCATAGTCTGGCTGGTCTGTGTCTTCTTAGTCCCCTTTAGATGATGTGCCTGGCAGTATGCGTTGTAGCATTTTCTTTCATGGATTGATGAGGGACACATTTCTGGGTGAAATAAGTTACAGGAGGGGAAGTTGCACTCTCCTTTTGTCATGTGGGTGCTGCATTTTTTGGGATGGTCAAAGGTGCATGTCCCACCTGTTTTACCTGGTATACCGTGCCTGCAGATACCCAAGGCATAGAATTTACATAGATTGTAATTTCGTTTACTAGAATTTATTGTAGTTGCGTTCACTGCTGGTGCATTTATTTTTCCTGTTTCCTCCCTATCTTTCACCCCTGTATGAACATCAGTGCTTCCACCAGGTTTTGCTGGTAATGTGGCAACACTATTCCCTGAGGCATCATCCGATTTTAATCCATCTCCAGCAGTATTTCTATTTTGAACCTCTGTGGACTGAATAACGTTGTCTTCACTGTCCTCCAGGACAACACTAGTATCCTCACGAGAACTGTCTTCTAAGACATCACTAGAGCCCTCTGGAGCACTTTCCTCCAGGACAACACTAGCACTTTCAGCACTGTCCTCCCGGACAGTATTAGCACCCTCAGGAGCACTGTCCAAGACAACCTCGTCCCTACCACCCACCTTATTTTCCCAGGTGTCATACCATGCTGATATGTCTTTCAAGAAGGATGTTTTATTGGTGTTCTTGTCTTTTAATATAGATGTCATTTCCTCATACAGGTGTATCTCGTTTGGGCAGACCCAACAACATCTCTCTGAGTTTATGTAAAGTGTGGTCACTGGTTTAAAATCCCTGTATGAATCCACATTCTCTCTGTTTAGTCTGAAGGGTAGAAGACCAATTGCATGCTCAATTTCTGTACGAGAACCTTCACTGTATGACAGCAGCGCTACCAGCTGCACCAATGGATTGATGAACAGAACCATAAACATATATTATTTGTGGAAGAGTGCTGTGAGGAATAGTGGTTTGGAATGAGGTAATTTTCCCTGGTGCAGGGAAATGTCACTGTTGTCTTGCTTGACATAGATCATGTATCCTGTTCATTCTGAGGTCAGTTCCAGTTTTCATGATCAATCTGGAATGCTTACTAGTCCTCTGTAAGATTAGCAAAGTCAGTTGTTGGTAATGGCAGGAAGTTTTCCCTCACTGGACTCCCTCCACTGTTGAATCAATATGTATTTTGTAGTGATCGTTATTAAAGCTTCTATGGGTGTCTATGCGTCAGAATCTTTTCCCAAATAAAGCTCGTTAAATATAATTATTTTTTGCTGTTCATAAAGACTCTTTCCGGTACCGACACAGCCTCACTCGTAGGTATCCGTACCTTTTTTGCCACAGACAGTGCTAAACAGTCACAACTCATGGAGCCTCCCCCAGCTTCTATATAATCTCGTGTTTCATTTGTATCTATGATTTGAAGTCTCTGGTTGACCAGGCATCTTGTAATAAAAATAATTCTCAAATGTTGTCATTAGCATGATCATCATGTCCAGCGTAGCATGGGCCAGTAAGCCTGCTGCAGTATTCCTTTATTCTTATGTTCTTAACGCTACTCGTGTATTGAGGAGTAAACCACTTGACAATACTGTACACTTAAGCAAACATTTACAGGAGCCGAATTTGGTGGTATTATATGTATATAATCAATAGCAGAACCTGCAGCGTTTGAAACTGAGAGTAAATGAAGGGTGTGACTAGAGCCCTTGACTAACCTTTTTCTTGAGGAGGGTGGCAATGGTAGTCTCGTTGCGAGGAAGACCAAGTGTGTTGTCTGGGGTGAACACTCCGGGGTACACCCCGCTTCGCACCTGCACCCGCCCCGTCAATAGCGATGCCCTGAACAATAACTGATTCTCACTCAAAATGGCTGGAAACAATCATTACATTAATAGTAATTTCATCACTTGACTGTTTGTAATTTTAGTTTGATACCTTTATTGTACATCCTAGGGGCTCGTATCCATCCTTGAGACGGGGGGGGGGGTAGTCTTCAGATTATAGAGGCACATAAAGGGTCCGAGGACTGGCCCCCTAACATTATTAGCTAAGCAAGGTATAGAAACAAAGAAGTATTTACTAAAGTAATGGATTAATCTAGAGAAGTAACGAGTTGGTCAAACATTTAGTGAATTCAAATAAGGCAAGCGCTTGTGTAATCTATAGGCATAACTTCCACAAATAGATTTTGTCCACGGGTGACGCCGCCTCCAACTGCTTCACCTCACCTGTTTGCATACGATGTACTTTGATCAAGGTTGATGGACTGACAACATCACCTCCAGGCTGAGAGATCGATTACATCTCCTAGTCATCTTCCACCGTTCTTTTCTGTATTGGACTGATAAAGCCACTGGCTAGCGAAACACTTCCACAATAAAGATACCCAAATTTTGCATTAGTGTCTCACCACAGTGTGTACAGTGTAGGGATGCAACAACTATATATGCACGAGAGATTTCTAGAAATTTGTGAGAACGCATCTGAGAACACCGGTAATGTCAAACTACTCATCACCAGTATTATACTCTGAAACTCCCACAAGCCCACCCCCGCCCAAACCAGACACACCTATCACATAGTTCCTGCACTCGCATGTAGAACCGGACCTATGACCCACTATATATATACTCCGTCTACTTCTTATCTCTGTATTGGATTGATATCGTCCCTGGCAAGTAACGTTTCCTTAAGTAACGTCCAAATACCGATTTTACGTCTTAGAAAAAATTGACTGAATCATAAGTTTCTTCTTGAAGCAATTACCTCAAGGTAGAACACTTAATTGTGAAGCACTAATTATTATTACTATTATTATTGGTATATTCACGGAGAAGCGTTAACCCCATGTCACAGTTCCCGGGGAATGGAGGTAATTAGGTTTGATAGAGAAGTTGAAGGAAACTCCAGTTCTTTGGATCAAGAGACTTCCAACATCAGGAAAATCATTTAAAACATGTGAATCAGTAAACAGACCTAAAACTTTATACAAATATCATGGCTTTATTTGCTTGGCGTCTACTGCTGTCATTGAAATTAAGTTATAAGAGCACAAGATCTTAGTTTTGTGATTACCTGAGCTTCTGAAAAATGGTAAAAAAAAAAGAAAAATATTTCATAAATAAAAATTAATGTTTTATTTTTTTAACACACCGACCGTCTCACACCGAGGCAGGGTGACCCGAGAAAGAAGAAACATTTTCACCACCACTGTCTTGCCAGAGGCGCGCCGACATTATTGCTCAGATTCCTCTCCAAACTGCAGTATTCCCTCCCCTTCAGAGTGCAGGCACTGTACTGCCCACCTCCACGACTCAAGTCTAGCTAAGTGTTGTCCCTTGAATCATTTCATAAATGTTACCTTCCTCATACCCCAATACAAATAAAATAAAAATAATTAAAAAAAATTGTTTTTACCAGACGACAATTGAGTACGTTTAAGTAGCTTGTTTATATTTGTGAGTACCAGCTGCTCACCTGGAGGGGCTGCAGACGGGGCTGGTCACATAGAAATGAGTGAAGAACCTGCTCTCTCTGGCTAGCTGGTCCAACTGAGGCGTCCTGCAGTCATGAATGTAATATTTTAACACCACCTTAAATCACATCTACATATTTCACATTCGATTAATTTTATAAACGACCATGGAATAATGTGTGAAGTGATTGTTAAGGCTGCATTTCACCTGAACACTTATCAAGAATACTTTAATCTGTTTAATAGTCATTGAAGTAAATTGTGTATATTCCGGTATACATCTTCTATATAACTCGTGTACTAGCTGTTACAGATAAAACTTCAGTCTTAAATTTATGTTAACAAGAAATTAATACTAATGGATCGCTTCAGAAAGTAAATATTTACGTTAGCTTATGGTTGAAGCCTTCGGTATATCTAGGATTTCAATAATGTGGAAGAAGATAGCTGTGTTATAGGCAACGGAATTGTCTACTTGAACTTGTCACATCACATCGTCTACAGTTCCATATTTACTCTATTAACTTGGGTTGGAAAACTGCACCATACCAGTCAAACTAAAAACTTTTTGAAGGGAAAAAGTTGCTCTACTACTAGCTGTTATTTGCCTGGCAAAACTAGAGCTATATACATTATCCAAAGCAATCATGAAGTATCTAAACTAAATCACCCACTGGACTTGCCTGGAAGTGGGATGACCTGAAAAACTGAGATCGCCATAACCCAGGTCGTCAGCTAAAAGGATGATAATGTTTGGTAGTGTATCGTTGATCATGTTGCATGTCTCCTCCAGCCAACACTCTCCTTCCTTGAAGTTCACTTGCTCAGTTGGCACATTCTTTGCATTTTCTTCATGCAGTTCGTGCTCCTTGGCTCGTACTCTTCCAACGTCACCAAGTAATAAATTCGCCAAGAAACAGAGGAAAAACAGACGTTTCATTTTAATGTTCTTGGAAAAAGACGAAATGTTCTTAGGTTTTGTAAGAGTTGTAATCGGTAGGACAAGGTTACCACGGCGCTGTGTCACCGCCGCACCCACCGTCCAGCTACTGCTGCATCAGTTGGTCCGGACCTGCTGGTATTATTGACTAGATAAGATGCTATCAGTCATTCTCTCGAGAGTAGGAGTTGTACTCACCTAGTTGTGGTTGCAGGGGTCGATTTACAGCTCCTGGCCCTGCCTCTTCACTGGTTTCTACTAGGTCACTTCCTTCGCCATGAGCTTTATCATACCTCTTCTTAAAGCTATGTATGGATCCTGCCTCCACTACATCACTTCCCAGACTACTCCACTTCCTGACAACTCTGTGACTGAAGAAATACTTTCAAAAATCCCTGTGATTCATCCGAGTCTTCAACTTCCAACTGTGACCCCTTGTTGCTGTGTCCATCTCTGGAACATCCTGTCGCTGTCTACCTTGTCGATTCCTCTCATTATATTGTCATATTCTCCAGTGTCGTCAGGTCGATTTCCCTTAACCTCTCCTCGTAAGACATGCCCCTCAGCTCTGGGACTAGTCTTGTTGCAGACCTTTTCACTTTCTCAAATTTCGTGCTTAGCTAGGTGTGGATTCTAAACTGGTGCTGCATACTCCAATATAGGCCCAACGTACGCGGTGTACAGAGCCCTGAACGATTCCTTATTGAAATGTCGGAATGCTATTCTTAGGTTTGCTAGGCGCCCATATGTTGGAGCAGTTATTTGGTTGATGTGCGCCTCAGGAGATGTGCCCGGTCTTATACTAAACCAAAAGTCCTTTTCCTTGTGTAAAGTTTTGTAGTCTCTGATACCCTACACTGTACTCCGTCTGCGGTCTTCTTTGCCCTTCCCTAATCTTCATGACTTTGCACTTCGTGGGGCTGAACTCAGGAAGCCAGTTTCTGAACCAAGCCTGCAGCCTGTCCAGATCCCTTTGTGGTTCTGCCTGGTGCTCTCCCGTTTGAATTCTTCCCATCAACTTCACATCATCTGCAAACAGGGACACTTCTGAGTCTATTCCTTTCATGTCATGTTATTTACATATACCAGAAACAGCCTAGGACTGACCCCTGAGGAACCCCGCTCGTCACATATACCAGAAACAGTCCTAGAACTGACCCCTGAGGAACCCCGCTCGTCACAGGCGCCCAATCCGACACTTCGTCACGTACCTGGTGTGTGAAGTGTTGTTAGTGAATATGTTACTAAAATTTCAGTACCTTGTATTAAAAATTCAGTTTTTCGTAGCGTGTGGCGAGTCTTCTGCAAATATTGGTATTTAAAAACGTCTCCTCCAGTTGTTCCTTCTTAATACTGAGTAGTTCATTGAGATCACATCTATCCCATCGCTATACTGAGTACTTTATTGACACCATACTGAGTAAATAAACCATACCACAGGCGGGGATATAACCGTGGGTTCTAACTCCGCGGTTTGTCTTCAATCGTGTCATTACGATTTCGTGAGCCACACTGAGTACTTTATTGACACCACAGTACTCTTCCATCCTCATAGCTACAGCTCATAGGCTATGGCTTTGAGGGAGGTGAGAATAGATTTACTCTGAGGGCTGCTGGGGCTGTGGGAAAGGACAGTTAGGACACAGACGGTGGCCTCTGACGCAGACAGGATACAGCGGTGTCTTCTGTGAAGCTAGTCTATTATAATCTCCATAGTTGAACCTATCAGTCTCGGAACAACGGTTCGATCCCCCCCCCGTGAGCCATGCGTGTCGTAAGAGGCGACTAAAATGCTGGGAGCAAGGGGCTAGTAACCCCTTCTCCAGTACACATTACTAAAGTTAAAAAGAGAAACTTTTGTTTTTCTTTTTGGGCCACCCTGCTTTAGTGGGATATGGCCGGTTTGTTGAAATAAATTTATATATATACATACATACATACATACATACATACATACATACATATTGTGTGTGTGTGTGTGTGTGCCGAATAGGTAAAATTGGTCAATTAGCAAAAATTCATTTAAAATTAAGTTCTTTCTTAAATTTTCTCTTATACGCTTATATTTTTTCATATATGTTAATGTGAATTAATAATGTTGTACCAAAAGAACCTTAGAAATCTTGCCTAACCTTATTATAACAAGCGCAATTTAATTTAGCGTAATCCAACTAAATATATTTTAGATAAGTTTACAGTAATTTAATAATAAACAAACACATATTCGTTAGGTTCAGAATGATTTTTGTGAAATTATTGCATACTCAAATTTTCCCTTGCCTTATTCGGCAAGAAGAGCGTTGCTATTTAAGCCTATATATATATATATATAAATATATATAAAATATATATATATATATATAAAAATATATAATATAATATTTTAATATATATAAAATAAGTGAACAGTATTTAGATAAGGCTAAAGAGGTCTTTGTGGCATTTATGATTTGGAAAAGGCGTATGACAGGGTGGATAGGGGGCAATGTGGCAGATGTTGCAGGTGTATGGTGTAGGAGGTAGGTTACTGAAAGCAGTGAAGAGTTTTTACGAGGATAGTGAGGCTCAATTTGAGTTTTAAAGGAAGAGGGAAATTATTTCCCAGTAAAATAGCCTTAGACAAGGAGTGTGATGTCACCGGGGTTTGTTTAATATATTTATAAGGGGGTTGTAAGAGAATTTAAATGCGAGGGTCTTGGCAAGAGGCGTGGAGTTAAAAGATAAAGAATCCCCTCATAAATTTGAGAGTTGTCACAGTTGCTCTTTGCTGATGACACTGTGCTCTTGGGAGATTCTGAAGAGAAGTTGCAGAGATTGTGGATGAATTTGGTAGGGTGCAAAAGAAGAAAATTAAAGGTGAATACAGGAAAGAGTAAGGTTTTATGAGGATAACAAAAAGATTAGGTATGAAAAATTGAATATCAGATTGGAGGGAGAGAGTATGGAGGAGGTGAATGAAATTCAGATTTTTGGGAGGGGAGCGTGTCAGCGGATGGTCTATGAAAGATGAGGTGAATCATAGAATTGATGGGGGGAAAAGAGTGAGGTGCACTTAGGATCTGTGGAGACAAAGAATTTTGTCCTTGGGGCAAAGAGGGAATGTATGAGAGTATAGTTTTACCAACGCTTTTATATGGGTGTGAAGCAGGGGTGATGAATGTTGCAGCGGGGAGAAGGCTGGAGGCAGGGGAGATGTCATGTCTGAGGGCAATGTGTGGTGTGAATATAATGCAGAGAATTTCGTATTGGAAGTTAGGAGGAGGTGCGGATTACCAAAACTGTTGTCCAGAGGGCTGAGGAAGGGTTGTTGAGGTGGTTCGGACATGTAGGGAGAATGGAGCGAAACAGAATGACTTCAAGAGTGATACAGTCTGTAGTGGAAGAAGGCGGGGGAGGGCGGCCTAGGAAAGGTTGGAGAAGGGGGTAAAAGAGGTTTTGTGTGCGAGGGGCTTGGACTTCCAGCAGGTAGCGTGAGCGTGTTTGATTGGAGTGAGAAAGGGAGACAAATGGTTTTTAATACTTACGTGCTGTTGGAGTGTGAGCAAAGTAACATTTATGAAGGGGTTCAGGGAAACCGGCAGGGCCCGGGCTTGAGTCCTGGAGATGGGAAGTACAGTGCCTTTCACTCTGAAGGAGGGGTGTTAATTTTTGCAGTTTAAAAACGTAGTGTAAAGCACCCTTCGGCAAGACAAGGGTGGAGTGAATGATGGGAAAGTTTTTCTTTTTCGGGCCACCCTGCTGGGGGAATCGGCCAGTGTGAAATAAAAATAAATATAATATATATATATAATATATATATAATATATATAATATATATATATTATATTATTAATGGGAAGTCAGTGCCTGCACTCTGAAGGGGTTTAAGGTTGCAGATTATACTGTAGGTAAGTGCGCCTCGGCAAGGCATGTTTGAATGAATGTGAAAGTTTTTCTTTTTCAGGCCACCCCGCCTTGGTGGGAAATCGGCCATGTGTTAATAATAATAAACATATATATAATATTATAAAGCATGTCTAGGTGTGTGGTAAGGAATTTTCGTGGAATCCGGGTAACCATTAGTAGAGTTCCTCCCACCACTCGTAAGGTGTTTTTCATGGTGACACTGCCAGCAGATGTCAAGCTGATGATAAATTTCTCCTCAACCATCCATTTTTCCTTTAGTTTTTCTTTCAAAATTTGAGTGATGTCTTTCCCAAAATCCTCACAAAAGGGAAAACACTAATCATCGTAATTTTGTAAGTAAATTAGTATATGATGGCGAGTGCTGAATATTATACCATGTGAGGATAGTGGGTTTGTTTTTATTATGTAACGGATATTGGTACTGATTTTTATTGACGTGTTACTGGTGGGGATGTTTATCATGTGATGTAATAGTGCTGATGTTTATCATGTAATGTAATAAATAGTGATACTGATGTTTATCATGTGATGTGATAGAGGTGGTAATGGTGTTGGTGTTCATAGAATATGTTCTCACTTTTAAAATTACTTTGCTCTTGAGATCTGTAGGGACTGACTTCACTGTTTAATATTTCTAAGGCCACCAATTGCATTGCAGTATTATTAGGTATTTTATTGAAAGCAACGCTTGTTACGTTATTACTGAACGTTTGTTGAAATGTAGATTATTAGTATATTAAATATGTGTTGAAATTTACAATTGTGTTATGTAATTAAATGTTTGTCCAGTCATTTGTCCATTGAATTTTATAGCTTATAGTTGTAGGCTGTTAATTAAGTCCCTTCTGAAATGTGTGCGTTTTCGTAGTGCCTCGGTAATTCCAATCTCGTTTATTACGTATCTTTGTTTCTCATTAGTTGAGTAGACAAGTCTTACTAATTAAGCCTTTCCATTACAAAGTTCAGGTATGACTTTGTTCTTGTATTTGTTATTTAGGGCAAACCTGTCAAACTTTAGCCACCAGAGTACTGTTACAACTGTTTTGTGTTTATGGGAAACGTACCTTTGTTTATGGTGACACCCGCTGCCTCAACTACCTCTCACTCTTATGAAAGTTAAGTCTCGTCACTATTTCGCATACACATTTCAAAAAAAAGTGTTTAGATCTCTTACTCTTTCATATCTATATCTGCCTGTATACCAACAACCTTCTTTTC